TTATTTAAAAAAAAAAATTGTAGCAAAAAAAATCAGGAAATCAAACCGTTCTTTTACATTAACAAACTATTTTCTGTGTCGCTAAATTCTCAATTGTTTTAAACAATCAATTTTTGAAATTCTCAATTCTCTTTGCTAATAAGCACAGATTTTTATTTTGTTTTCAATTTAAGCACTTCGTTGCTATTTAGCAGAGTGGCAGTGTATAAATCGATGTAGCAACTTGCATATTGCCATTATTTTGTACAACTTTGGCTGCCACTACTGCCGTCTGCCGCCTATTACGCAAACGGCTTCAATTTTCAGTCATTGATATCGCTTGGCCGTACATTTTCAGTTTCTGTTTACGTTTATGGTTTTTTCTTTCAAGTTTTTGTATTTGTGTCGCGTCATTCAAACCGCTTTTCCGAACCCAATCGTCGTCAGAAAACGTATAACTTGTCGATATCGTCGCATTTATGTCAAACGTATCAAATAAAGAAGCCAGACTTCAGATTGGAATAAAAAAAAAGAATGTTGCAAAATGTTGCCAAACAAATACAAAACCCAGTGACACACATAAACATGAAATCGGAGGAACTACGGAAGATGATGATAAGGCAATGGGAAAGAGTGGAAGTGCGGTGAAGGAAATCTCAAAGCCCATACCGTCTTATCAGCTGACGATTCAAATGACCTTAACTGACCAGCAGTTGCATTGCATTTATTATTATTTCTGTATGCACGTTTGTGTATGTATGTGTATATGTTTATACTGCCATGAAAATGCCGTTACACAGCAACTAAAACGAAAGCAGCAGCAGCAACAACAACAACGCCTCAAGGTGACGCACATGCAGATGATGTCATTGGGTTGAAGCGTCGTTGTCGACATCAACGCCGACGGCGACGGCGCTGTGGGCGTCGGCGCAGACGCTGGCCGTCGTCATTGAGCGGCACGTGCATTGGCCGAACTCTTCTTTTTGCGTTTTTGTTATTGTTGTTGTTTTTTTTCGGCACCACCTCTTTTACGCCATTCCCATTCAACAGGAAAAAAGAATGCGAAAGAAGCCGCTTAGCTGTGCAACATCTTGCGAGAATTTGCAAGTTAATGTCAAAAGCTGAGGCAGCAAATCTTATAAACCGTGGGACATTCATAGATACATATACACGTATGTATGTACATACATACATATGTATGTACTCATGAATAAGTACTAGAACATGTAAATAAAGCCTGCATACCTGGAACTTAACCGCAAAGATACCTATGTACATATGTATATATGTATGTAAATATAGTAAGTATATAAAGAAATATGTATTTACAATCGTAAAAACAGTACAGTAAGTGCTGGAATAGAAATAGCACCTTGAAGGTATTTCCAAAAAAAAAAATAGACACATGAGCTTGAAATTAAAGACCCTACTATTTCAAAAACCTTATGTTAAATAAATAAAAATTTTGGCAATTGAGGAATACCAATTTCCTAACCCTTAAAAGGAAATATATGCTGTTTCGGAGTTACACAATAACTTAGACGGCCTGCCACGCCTCCTTTCTTTTGTTATATACATTTGCATTAAACTAGTACACCCTTTTACCATTTGGGGTAAGAAGGGGATTGTGACTAGAAAAATATGGATATTTTCTAACTAACTTTTCTAAGTCATACAAATATGATATCAACTGCCTTGTTCGCTCTTTATTCGTAAACTTATAAGCTGGTGTCGAACAAGTGCGTTTCGGAAGGTCTGTAAGCAAAAATGCAGCTGTTTCAGAATTTCCCAGATTAGGCAAAGTTGAAAACCTTTCTGGGAAAAATACGTCGCATTTGCCTATACCTTCCAATTAAGTAAGTAGCTTGACTATGTTTGTAGGGTGCCGAAATGCCACTCAAACCCTCATAAAATGAAAGTAAACCCTATTTCCTATACAAATTATAGAAGGTATTAAAATTAATGTCGTTAATAAATTGTTCGCCATTTCTCTTAAGCGATATCCACTGTTTATAAGTAGCTTCCGATGATTCATTCATCCAATTGAAATGCCAGTAAATGCAAAAAGGAAGCGTGTGGCTGGCATAGACCCCAAGAACTGAACGATCCAACGCACGCAAATTGCCAATGAGTGTGGCGAAAGGGAGAAAGGCGGGGGGGCGTCGTTTGATTAGTTTAATAGCCACACCCAACACAAAGCGTTTGTTATTATGATTTCTATGCTAAAGCCACAAAAAGCGCTAATTTTCTGTTTGTTTTCTTTTTTTGCACACTGACCAGCTGGTCAGTGAAGAGCTGAGCTGAGCAGACCAGAGCAAAATAGTATAGAGTAGAGCCGACTGAAACAGAACGGCGCCCACATAATTTACGACTTGCCAACATGAAATGTTAGATAGCGAAATGTCCAAAGAGTCGATGAGCGGCATGTGTGGCGTCATTTTATAAATAGCCGCAGATGAAGAAGAAGTCGAGCGAGCGTTTACAGAGTGAATGCTCCATAAAGTTGGCCGAACCACGCCTAGTGGGCATGACGCATAATTGCTATCACTGTTCGTTATCTAAGAAATTGTTGTTACAGTTGATAAGCCATAAGTCCTATCCACTACCAGACATGGCGTACACATTGAAATCGATATTTAAGAATACAGACTAGTTGGCTTGTACATATACATATGTACATATGTATGTATGTAAGTACAATTGCTAGATATGTTCGCAATCGTATTGTGTTTTATTTGTTGTGTCGCCCGATAAGCTTTAGCAAGTATGGACATCAGTAATGCAAACAAATAACAAGTTAGTTAGTGGACTGGCCCATTGAAAAGGTATTTCTCTTTGGCAACAATAACCTATTTATTTGGTGCAGTTATATAATATAATTATATATATAATTATCTTTCTTAAGGAACTTCTTATAAAATGTATTGCTTTATTTCATGACACTAAGCATTAACAAATAAGCCTTAAAAGTGAATGCAAAATATAAAGAAGCTATATTTGTATTTTCATTCTTTAGCATCTTCAGCATATCTTTCTTGGGAAACAGTTTCGTAGAATTTAATAACCAACTTCATGCGAATCGAGATTAAAATGGAAACTTTATAATAATATGGAATTCGTAGAAGAGATTATTTCACAAAGAAACACTAATAATCCATTGTAGAAGTCCGATTTAAAGTATCATTTTTTTAAGTATTGTAGAGCCCCGATAAAACTATACTTTAGACTTAAGCAAAATTATATTCTTTTAGTAGTTCTTTCTGAGAATAGATTTTAGTATTTTTCATTGAAAAGATAGATTTAGATTAGCAGAAAAGAGTTCACTTTTGAAATAAGAGAGAATGAAAATATTCTCCATTGACTTAGCCACCTAATGTACTTAGAACTCCGAGCTAAATGAACCATATTTCATTAGAAAATGTTATTAAAAAGAATAATTCCCACACATCCTAATACATAGATGAATGTATCAGAAAAATCAAAGTATAAGCAAAATAACCAATTAATCACATCCATTGGAAGAACAATTATTTGTCAATCAAAGTTTATTTACTTTCAAATTACAATTTGTTTTTTTTTTTTTTTTTTTTTTTTTTTTTTTTGATCTAAATGTTTATGATTCCAATTCGTTATACAATTAGCAGTATAAAGTGATAACAAAGTCTAAGCTAAACTCACAAAAAAAATAAGATTAGGTGCAGGGAATTTTAATGTTATTAAACCTCCATATACTCATGTAGCTTGATTACGGCCCACTTGACTCATATCTGTTTTGACTCATAGATGATTGTGCGTACACAAATGTACATATAGACGTATATGTACATATTTATACCCTGTACCCAAAGGGTACAAGGGTATATTAGTTTAGTGCGAGTGCACATGGAACACACAGAAGGAGGCTTGGTAGACCCCACAAAGTATATATATTCTTGATCAGCATGACAAGCCGAGTCGATATAGCCATGTCCGTCTGTCCGTCTGTCTGTCCGTCTGTCTGTCTGTATGAACGCAAGGATCTCCGAAAGTATAAGAGCTAGAATAACCAAACTTGGTATACAGATTCTCCTGAGACCGAGAAAGGACGAGTTTGTTCATTTTTTCTGATCCAACCCCCCACTCCCCCCCTATTAACGATTTTCTATAACTCCCGTAATTCTTGGAATTTTGAAAATTTGGTAGTCACATTAGGTTAGTAATTATATAACCGTATACCAAGTCTCATTATGATAGAATGATCGGAAAGAAAGTTATAGCTATATAACCAGGCTCAATGCACACATACATACATATGTACAAGTACACACACACGCATAGACACGATTCTGATGTAATTGTAAATGTATGTATGCATGAATGGAATATTTTATATTTAATTAGTTAATATTTGGTTAATTAATTAAATTAATTTAGTTAATTAATTTAATTAAATTAATTAATTAATTTAATTACTTTTTTGTGGGGTGGTACAGGGTATTTAAGAGTTGAGCCTGCTCGACTTTAGCATTCCTTTCTTGTTTTGTCTTGAAAACTATGACTGGCATGTATTTATTTGACTTTTCCATTTCCACTTCAATTCAATTAAAAGGCTGCCTGCTGTTACGCCTTAACATGGACAACAAATTCAATAATTTAATTGAAAAGCGTCAAATTGTGTGTGGCATTCGAAGCTAAAAACTGTAAATCTGAATGATAAACAATTTTCTATTTTGGGGCGCCGAGTGTGAAAAACGGGCACAGAATTATTAGGCTGTGAAGCGTCAGCGTCGGCATCGCGTTTGTCATAAACAGCAGCCACACCAACAATGACAGAAAGGGCGCTCAGCCGTTGCGCATGCGCCATAAATAAAATGAATAAATAAAGAGAAGAAGCAGAGAAGGGAAGCATCAAACCAACTGTCAAAGCATTTGTCACTTTGCGCATCGTCGGCGTTGACAGCAATCAGTGCGGCGCACCCGCCGCGCATTTGCCGGAAATGTGGGTGGGGTGTTGAGTGAGCGTTGCCAGACTGTCAACTTACCTTGCGATAGCCAAATAGTTCCTTTTGTAAACGCTGTCGTTCTGCCGAAGGCTGTTGACCTTTGCCGCGTATAAATTTCAGCATTTTATTCAAATTTTTATTGTTCCAGTTCAATCAATCTTTTCGCTTATGTACAGAATTAAAGAAGCTGAAAAATAACACAAGAATGAGAAAAGAAACAATCAACACTCATTAATCAAACATTTTGGGGAGTGAAATTTTAAAATTAATTTATATTGTTAGGTAATATTACGGAATGTTGAGCTATCCATTATCAGTTCAGTTAATATTAAAGGCACACACACACACACGGACACAAACTGAAAACACTTCTTGCCCTGCCACACAAATTGCAAGTTAATAGCATTTTGAAAATTTATGAGCCGCAACGCGTTTTGGCCGTACCGGCGTGAAATGTGCGACTTGAAAGAAATGGCACATACGTTAACATACATACATATATACATAGGTACCAATTCAATATAGGTGTATCTGAGCATGTGGGTATTTATTGTACAAGTAACTGGAGAGGCAGGAAACGCCTATTACCCCGACTATCCAGTCAAAGTTGTCGAGTCGAGGCTGCCGTTGTCATAAAAAGATAAAAAGGCGGCTGCAGGTCGCACTTTGGGCCGGAGACAGAGGGCAATGAGTAGAGGACCCAGGGGCAGGTAATGCAAAACACTGAAACGTTTGGTAAACAAAAGGCAGCCCAATCCGGGCCAGCAGGCTTCGAACAGAGACACATCACGTACATACATACATAGCTGCAGGAAAATCAACAAAAGTGCCAAGCACAGATTGAAGTAGCACAAGAAAATTGTAGCCAGTCTGTATGTAATGCAATAGTTGTTGTTGCTGTTGGTGGCGGCATATTGAAACTTGATGCTATTTATATACTACATGCATAGATACTTATGTATTTTTATGTATGTATGTGGCAAGAAGCAACAGCAACAGCCGCATAAACACAGTCAGAGCTAAGCTTAAACTCAAACTCACAAAACTTGTTAAACAAGTTGCGCTGAGATTTGAACGAAGAACAAGACATCGAGGATTTGCTTGTGGGCGGGTGTGTAGCGGCATAATAGTTACTGCTGTTGTTGTTATAAATTTTGTTTTTGTTGTGTTCAATAGGCAACAAATTCTGCTGCTTAGGGGCAGCCAAGCTTGAATATTGGCAAAGCCAGCAATGACGAGGCAAATAGCTGCCCACGCGTCTACAATTTTACAGAAAAAGAAATCCAAGAAACATTACAAGACAAGAGACCAAATGTTGTTGAATTATTGCTGGCGTCTTACAGTGGCCCCGCAAACAAAATGTGGCTCAACAAATGTTGATTATACGAAATCAGATTGAATATTTTTCAGACATTTTAATTGCAATTTCTGAAGAGATTTGAAAATGGCTGCATGATGAAATGAAATATATGATTTGAGTTGTTAAGTGATTTCTATTATTATTATATACAGTTTACTTAAAGTTAAAATAAATAAGGTAACATGCGTGTAGCCATGAATGTCAAGGTCTTCAGCTAGATGTTTTCTAATTTATACCAATATTTGGTAAAAAGACATTTATATTTTCTTAATGAGTTTTTATATATATTTAACTAAATGAATTGTATTCCCAATTTATTTTTGTATGAAATGAAATAATTATTTAAATTAAAAGAAAATGCAACCACAAACTACTTAACTACCAAGCGAACCAAGTATTATTTATTGTTACCCCCCAATTATAATACGAATGGCAATGTTGTTGTTTACAAAAGTTAAATTAATTTAACAGTTTATTTCTGACAGTCAGCTTAGCTTGAATGCGCCGTCCAAAATATGATTAATATTGCCTTTAGAATTTAAGCTTTTCTATATCGAATGACCTCCCAAATGACCTCTAATTTTATTTAAATTTTCTTCTGGCTAGAATTAGAACTTGTTACCACTGTGCGTCACCCTGGCTTGCCTCCCCTCTCACCAACACCCAACAATACTCATTTGGAGTGCTATGTCTAAAATGTTAATGAACTCGCCCATGCAGCAGCAGCAGCAGAGAACAGCAAAACGAAAACGAACGACAAGAACAAATCTTAATACAAATGCTGATGGTTGTCATCGTTGTTGCTGTTGTTGTTTGTGTTGTCTTTGGTGCTGGTGGTAGTTTCAGAAGGAAAGTGCGCGCAAAGAGGGAGAGGCGCAAGAGTTGCATGCATTAACATGCAAACGACAACACTAACACGCATACACACATGCCAAGGCATGCACACACATGCGTTCGGGGGTTTGTTGTTATTCCTTACATATTGTGTTATTTCTGCTGTTGCCAGTTAAGCGACCAAATAAATATTTATCGGCATTTCATTTTATTTACTCTAACACACATTTCAATGCAACTTTTATGGCTTCCGTATGGAGGGATAATAATAACAGCGGCAGCAGCCACCGCTATTTAATTGATATTGCAAAAATAAAAAGCAGCAACGATCATTTATTTAAATGAATTACTTACACAAATGCAAGAATGCAACTGCCTGTTCGCTTGTATTGTTGGGCAAATGCAAATTTTTATAGACGTTCGCCAAGCTGCAAGAAACAAATGTGTAGGCAATTAAAACGAACACTGTGTCTCGGGCAGGCACTTGTAAAACAATTGAATGGTATATGAAATTAATTTTCTGTCAAAGGCGCACGCAACGTAAATGCCGAAAAAAAACTGTATCTGTGAGAATGCTGTCCGGCATCTGCCTGTGTGTGCGTGTTAATGTGTTTGTGAGAACAAATTTTGTTTGTATGTAAATTAATGGATAGCGTTGCGTTCACTGCCCGACTGACTGAGTCACCATTCGTAATTTATTTAATTAATATCACAATTTTGAATAAATCTTTAAACACTTTTTGCCATACATATGATTTGTTTTTTTTTTTTCGTTTGTTTGTAGTTGTCGTTTGCACACTAACACAAGCAAAGAATGAACGGCTGCGGCTTTTTGGGTGGTAACGCCGCTTGTTTTCGTTGTTTTAGCCGCACAAACACACCGACGACACACTTGTTGGATGCAGTGTTTGTGACGTAGATGCGATTAAAAGCCAAAATACATGTAATTACCATAAACAACAGAATATCGCAACAGGCCTGTGATTATGGCGTTCTGTACTAATTTTCACGCGTTTGGGAAATGTTTAAATTTCAGCGCTCCCCATGCAACACGACGCGTTCATACCGACATTCTTTTTTCAACTAAACTTGTGTTGCCACTCATTCGATCTGCCAGCAGCGCTCCTACAATGAATATTGCTGTTTACTGTTTACGTCATCGTTATCGGCGGTTGTGCAGTGCTGCCAATGCATTGCTATGGAATTAGGCCTTCATAAATTTCCAAATGTTATTCTGAGAGAGCCATATTCAAGTCTGTTTTTGGTTTAGGGCTGATCTATGCAGTCTTTACAAACAATAATGTATTAAATCCGAAAAAAAAGTATTTTGTTTTAAACCAAATTATAATTATTTTAAACTTGAATACATGTATATATTTTAGAAGCTAAATAAAAATAAATTAGACTTGTTTTCCAACAGGTGAAGACACATTTTTATTGCAATTTTTCTACATTTCTTCTTCTTAAACTTTTGTGATCGAAAAAGAAGTTAAATATGTATTTCAATAAAGTCGAGTGTCTTCGCCATTTTGCACATCAAGTCGAATATCATTTAGTAAAATACACAATCACACTAAATAAATTACCAAATGCACGAATTTTTCCGATTTATATAAGAAATAAATTATAGTCTCACTTTATTCCACTTCATTCATTTAGATTTGAAATAAAACAATTTACTAAATAGATATATCGATTGTTGGCCTCCAAGAAAAGACAAAACCTAATCGACTATTAATCGAATCATTTCCGGCTCTATTAAATATGTTGCCGGTTTCAATCGCCCGCCTGTTGAAAAAGTTGGGTATGTTGCTGGAAGTACGTTAGAATAAATCATGGCTAAACGTTTTCAGCCCATGAAGGACTTTGCGCGCGCCAAGAAACCAAAACTAGATCTAAGTATAAGTCGTGGTCGCCCGGAGCCAACGCATGCGAGCAGCAGCAGCAATAACAACAACCATGGCAGCAGCAACAAGTGTGCGTCCAAACAACACGCGAGTCCTGTCCATGCAAATGGCGATGACTTTAACTTCTGGGACGATGACGACGATGATGTCATCTTGCTGGCCACACAAAAAGCCGAGGCAGCTGCCGGAGCGGGTGCAGGACGCCCGAATCAGGCAGATGGCATTTTTTCGGAGATCGACATGACTTTCAGCGATTTCGCGCCTAAAGGCCAAGGCACGACGAGCACACAGCAAATGTTTGCGGTGCCGGCAAGTAAACCCCTCAAGAATGACATGGACATCATGTTCGATGACGATGATGACTTTGAGTTGCTTGCTGTGGTGGAAAAGAAAGTTGAAGTTAAACTGCCCGAGGAGCCGCCTCCTCCGCCTGTGGCGATTCCAAGTACCAACAAAGCAGAACCTGCGCAGTCCATCAGTGTAATGAGTATGCAAGTGCTAACGCAGTCTACAGCAGCTCCCAGCCAGTCCACAGTAGCGCGCCGTCAATTAGCGCAGGAGCGACAAATGAAATTCCTCATGGAGCGTGTGGAGGCGCTCAAGCAGGAGAATGTAAAGCTTCAGAAAGACTTGTTCGACACCAAGGACCGCATTGAGAGCAAGGATGGCGAGGTGAGCGTAAAAATGTTTATAACAAAAAATGTATATTTAATAATTCAACATTTAGGCCAGTTTGCTGCGCGATGAACTGCGACATTTGCGACATCAGCTCGAGGCAAGCAAAATGGAGAAGCTCAAGATAGCCGAAAGTGCGAAGGCTGAGTGCAAAACGAAGGTAGCGGAGGTCTTCAAGCAGATAACAGCCAAGGAAACAGAACTTAAGCTCAGAGATGTGGAGTACTCCAAGTTGAAGCTGCGGCACACCACACAAACGAAACAGTTTGAGATGAGTATGTGTGTGGAGGAGAACACATCTGTGCTGATCATTGATGCCATTTCCCGGCGCAATTTAATGCGAATGCGAAACCTCAGCATCGGTTGTTTCAGTAACAACAAAAACATCACATCGTCTGCAAATGGCAGCGTTTTTGAACTCACTAAAGACGACGCTAAGGGCAAGAAACAGCTCTTTCAATTGGAGCTGGAGCACCTGCTTTTAAGCTATGCGCAATTACAATCGCAGTGTGGCGATATTGAAGACATCACCTCGCGCATAATTCAGTCGGTTTGCAAAGTGTTTCTGGAATTCTGGTCTCATGTGCATAGTTTGGAGTTTCCGCACAACTGTGTGGTCTATCCTTACCACAACTACGCCCTGCAGTCGGATGAGAGTGCGCCCCAGCGACAATCATTGGCACAGCCCAGTGCGCTGTTTAGCCAGGAACGCGCCATCAGTCTGCGACGGTACATAGCCACCTTGGCTTTGATTTGTCAGCAACAGCGTAAACTGGCACACGCGCTCCTTCATCATAAACATGGGGAATATTGGCTGCTGCAAATAGCTAACGATGCCATTGCCAAGTTGGGCTATTCGGATGAATTGTGCGAGCATTTTGGCTTGTTGGAGGCTGCAGGCGCACTCCTGCATAGTCTGCTTGTTTATGTTAATGAAGAGGAAGTTCCAACAGAAATTCCACAACTGGAGCTGCTTTTTGATCTGCTCAAACAGCTGGCCTTTACACGCCCCACTCCGTGGATCTTTCGTGAGCTCAGTGCCAGCTTGTTGGCCTGCACACGCCAGTCTCAACTCATGAGCCGAATGTGTGTGAATAGTCCGAAGGAATGTTTCCTATCGGATCGCGTGCGCTCGCTCTATCGCTTTGGGCCAGACTCTTGTCTGCTTCAGGTCTATGCGGGTCTGCTGGAGCTTGCTTTCTTCAGTGAAGTTAAACTGGAGTTGGCACATTTTAATCTGCTACTGGTTATATGCCAGTATCATGTACGTTTCGTTTACCAGTGCTTCACAAATCCACCAGCATTTATTCTGGAAATGCTGCCGTCCGTTGCTGATGATGACGACGAAGAGAACGATGTGGAGGAAAACACCTTAACAAATGGCACCAGCATGCAGTCGGCCACAACGCTGAGCAATTCAAGCAACGGAACAACCACGCTTATCAACAAAATGCCTACGGATGGCGGTTCCAATCCGGAACGTCGTTGTGAATGTTATGTGAAGCTTTGCCTCAGCGTTGTCACACTCGTCTTTCAAATGCTACATCAGTGGATGCTCTGCGATAGGGAACACAGTATGTACATGTATGGCCCATAACTTTAGCTCTAAATAATTATGTTCAATGCCCGCAGACACATCACAAGTGAGTGAGATCTCACAAATAGCCGTACACCTGCTGACGCTCATCTTCCGCGAGTACTATCTAACCTGCCTCTTTCGTGACTCCGAAGAAACCACCAAGCATTATTTATCGCTCATATGCAACTGGTGGAGTGAACATTTAGAACTGCTAGGTTTTCAGGAAATACACGGTGAGTTGAATTTCATTTTAGTATATTTCACTCTTACGAAGTGCTTTATTTTCGCTTTTAGTGCGTTTCCTGAGGCATCTGCAAGATTCGCATTTCATGCTTAAACCGCTGCATCGCGAAGCTAATCCCAGTAATCCTACAAATGATCTGCAAGAGTGGACACGCATTGTCAGCAATGCCGATGCCAAGGTTGAGAAGTACGATGATCCCGATGATCCCTTCAATTGCAATCCTCTTGCTGCTACAAATACGCGGCAATTCTTTGATGGTTTAAAGCGACATGAGGATAATGTTGATAGCAGGCTAGATCTAGAAAATTAATATATCATAGCTCTAACAATTGGCTCATATTCCTTCAAATTGTGTTTTAAATCTATAGTTCGTACACAAATGTCACACTAAAAATGTTTGTAAATAGCTATGTATAAATGTAAGCGTTAAAAAGAACAATAATTGAGTACAATTTTAAATATAGAAGTTTACGGATATGCCTATATCAATAGAATAACTTTTAATAGCTGGTATTAAGATACACTCATCAGAAAGAAAGGAAAACGCACATCAACAACATCAACAACTGTATATTTTCTTTGTGCCTCAATTTTTGAGTGCTCCACTTCCTTCATCTTGAATCTCTTGGCGAACGCGAATCCTCTTACTCCAGTCTCCAGTATACATAGTTGCAAAAGAGATGGTCTGTAATTTCTTCGCTTTCCGACAGAGCCTGAATTTCTGGGAACATGTGCGGTTCTTGGAAATACTAAACGACTTATGAGCTGTCACAAAATGGAAGAACACATTAATCGAAAGGTAGTGCTTCGATTTCAATTCGTAAAAGATCTCGTAACTGAACCAGAACTAAACAATCCTTAATTATGCCGATTTAGTGATAAACCCAAAGGGCATATTTGAGTATAAAAACTCTATTAAAATCATATACATATATATCTGTTAATAATATCCGTTTTGTGAAAAGGAAGCTTCGCTATAAGGTTTTAACGCGATAGCTCTTAAACAGTTTCCGAAAACAGACACATTTGAACTCAGCTTTACATACTGAATAGTTCAATTTTAAATATTCGTCAGAACATTTCCGGGTTAAGATTCTCAGAATTTTGTTGCATACTCTCAGGAAGTTCGATTTTGCACTTTCATTTCCTCACTCTGAAAGCCTTTGATTTGAGCTTGACAAGGTGTTGTTGCTAATCAGCGAGCTAAATTACTGATTGCAGTTCAGCGAATTAGAAAATAATAATAAAAACTGCAATAATTGCAGATGTTATTAGTTGATAGCGAATCTGTCGAGCCTTAGTTTCATATTAAAAAAAAAATAGTTTCATTCGCGACTTCAAACCGAAACTGTCAAGATGAATTTAAGCTGGGGAATCGCCGCAGCCGGACGGATAACACACGATTTCGTCTCGGCATTGGACACCATTGAGAATTCCAAGCATTCGGTGGTGGCTGTGGCCGATGTGGATGGCCAGAGGGCCCGGGAGTTTGCGCAGCGCCATCAGATTCCGCGTCACTACGATGGCTTCGATGCGCTCTCCCTCGATCGGACAGTGGATGTGGTATATGTGGGGACCCTCAATCCCTATCACCATACTGTGGTGCGTCTGATGCTGGAACGCGGCAAACATGTGCTGTGTGAGAAGCCACTCTGCCTGAGTCTCAAGCAGGCTCAGGAACTTTATGCGCTGGCCGAGCGCAAGGGAGTGTTTCTCATGGAAGGTGAGCTAAACGAATTGAGCTTGATCTGAAATAGTTCCGTATATCTGTTTTTTAAAAAGTGTACTTTGGCCCGGAGGTCGACCTTGCATTTGTATGTTATTTAAAATCACTTTTTCCTTAGTTATTACTCCGGTTTCGTTTGCGAATTCTATCAATTCTTGCGGAATCGAAATTGATAAATAATCTTAATTTCAAAAACCAACAAAAAATTCATGCGTTTTTAAAAGTTTCCCTCAAAAAGCTAGTGTTTCATTATTTTTGAACTAGACTTTTTTAAGTCAAGCACTTTAAGCGGATTTCCTATTTGTAGAAATATTTTTCTATATTTTGTATTAAATATTTTTCGATTTTTAACTCTTTAGAAAAGTTGTCATAATTTATCAAATTTGTGAATTTCACCACAAAACCAGCTTAGTACAGTTTTGAGTAGAAATTACATTTATGGGTATATTTTTTTTCCTTTAACTTAGCTAATATATCATTATAACACTAAGAAGAGGGCGAATCAGAAAAGAAAAACCTTGTTCTTTTTGAGACTTGGGACATAAAATTGATATGAAATTTGCTTAAGAAACGGATGTTTTAGTTTCTTGAATAAAAAATCCGGGACTTTACACTGGAGACGGAGTATTCATCCGTGCTTTTTATATGCATGCGTTATGGCGCACAGTGGGGCCTTCGGACTTTTTTCGTTGCAAAAATCATATCTTCTGAACGGCTGAAGCAATTTTCGTCATTCAAATTTTGTTTGAAAGAAAAATTCTTAAGCTTCTAAACAAGTCATAGCGCATTGTGCTGTGATTTGTAGGAGCTGCGCAATGTGTGCTCAAAGTTGGATTTTGTTGCCAGTGCAATATTTGCCTAATCAAACTAATAAAAAACATTTAATGATACAATTATTTTCAGTTATGTTATATTTTTAGTTTTTAACAAATTAAAAATTGAAATTAATTTAAAAATATTGAAAATTTTTTTTACATAAAAAAAAATTAAAATAAAATATTTTGTTAATATTTTATGATTACATTAATTTTTATTATAAAGTACTGACAGCTGCAATTATTTACATTAATATGTTTTCTTTAAAATAGTCGTCTACATTCGAAGGAATATCTAATAATTTCACCATGTCCGAAGAATAATTACTAACTAATTCTTTGTGAGACCTCACATGTCTAAGGGATGAAACCAGTGGATCTGAAGAGGCTGACAACATATTGAAGAGATCCTCGTTTTGCCTTATTCGTGACGTCTTGCATGTGTTCAAATATCTGAATTTTTTATAGTCCTTGTTCCTCGACTCTTGGGCTTCCTCTGACATTTCTCCAATTGGTCATGAAGTGTTACTTGCACTGACTGTTCCGTCACTATTGTGGGCTGAGGTACTGCCTCTTTCTTAGCCGATCCTATTTGTTTGTACCCAGGAAGAACATCAACATTATGCCGAATTAGGGAATGTCGCAATATTAAATATTTTTCCTTTGACAATCCCAAATCCATAAACAATGCCAAAGCCTCATCGGCACTGAACTGCTTTGGCAGTAAGTTTGGCGGAGTAGGAATGCTTTCCTTGATCCTTTTAAGTCGCACTGGGCTTGCGTCAGCAACCGCTTTTGTGACTTGCGATTTTATTTTTTCCTGATCCTTGGTGTATTTCATGGACAGCGCCTCCGACAAGTGATCCGTAGCTATGGCTTCTGTGACATCGACAAGCTTTCTTTTTCTTGTAAAATCCGAGCATTCTTCAATGGATTTCGTTGGTCTTCCTCTGGCTCGTCCAGTTGATGTAGAGGGTACATCGTCCATTGATGTATCCAAGTACGTAGTCGTTGATAGCCAGATTTCATATTTTAAATCAAATTTCTGCTTGCTATATCCTACGCTTATCCATTTCTGTTTGATTTTAGAATAAATTAATTTAAGCTTATTTCTCAACATTTTTTGCTGATCTGCACTTTCCAGAGCATCATACAGCTCTTCCAGAACAGCTTCTTCAAATTCCTTCTCATCATTGGAATTCCTAAATAGATCAAATAATGTTGCATTTTGCACAGCCATGTTAAAGAAAAATCACTTTTAAGGTATTTAAACGTAAATTATATTGAAAAATACTATTCACTGCTAGTTAGACACAACTGATTGCTTTTTAAGTCAAAATTCGACTATTACGCTGCACCAAAAATATTGGCAATATATACCATTTCTAAACGCATACCTAAGATAATAAACTAAAACCTCTTTTTGCCTGTTCAAATGCTTTAAAGCAAAGAAATTACAATTCATGAAAGGGTCAAAAAGATTGCAAGACCTTCACCTGATATTGTAAATTACACTACCTGTAATAAATGTTATGCATAATTTTGGTTGCACAATATTAAATGTGGATCAAATAGGACCGCTTAGGTATATTTTTGTATCCATAATGCTAAATACAATGTTCCTAATAGCCGTTACTGCGAATCTACCTGCAATGCATTCTTCTTCTTATACCCGCGGCAGCGCCTTTTTCGCTGATTTTTTTCCGAAGTTGCGGCACTCTTTTTGCTCTGGTGCACACCGGCGGATCCGGGCGGATGAAAGTTTTATTGCGTTAGGTAAAAGAATATTTAGGGAACATATTTTGAAAATATGGGCGAGGTACTTTTGGGTACTTTTTTTTTATTTTCCATCAAAGTTGAAAAACACCCTAAAAATAGGTAGTTTAAAAAATAACGTTTTCTAGATAACTACAAATACGAAAGACATAGTTTTTATTAAATAATGCATAAAATTAATTCATCTAGCAATACAAATCAAAACATCAATGATTCGTTTCATAACTTAGCTAATATTATACCTGAAAGATGAAGTATTTGCATCAAATTGAATTAATTGTTGCGAGCTTAAAAAAGGGTCGACTTTGAGTGCACATATGTCCTAAACTATAATTCCGATTTTTTTGAGAGTAAGATTTTCGTAATCTTTGGAAAAAAAACTATTAGACACGTTTATTCATTACTCCCAAAGCGTTCATGAAAATTTTGATTTTCGCAAGCTGTTTCGGCCTAAGGCCCCACTGTGTGGCGTAAATAAGACCACCTCAGGGTTATAGATGTAATGACAAGAAATATTTCCCTAATTTTCAGGAGAAATTTAAGGCATACTTCATACAATGCTTGCTTTCAGAAGTATTTAAAGGAAGATTCTCTGAATTCAGTCTGAGTATAGTTGGTTAAAAAATATTTTCCTGTGGATGCCCCATAATTTTGAAATCAAATACAACTATAGAGGTCTGAACGGATGTATAAAATAGTTTCATATCGCCGTAAGTTTTATGCAAGTTGTAGATCTATTCTGTGTGTAAGTCTATTTCTGGAGGAATAGAATAGCTGCAGACTTTAAACTTTGTACAAGTTTTTTTTCTATATAGTATATATTATGTTAAATTATAAATTGAGTTTAAGATCGGTTATAAAAAATACTGTTGTGGATCAGGTATGTGGTCCCGTTTCTTTCCCAGCTACGAGCGATTGCGTGAGCTGCTGCTGAGCGACAGCATTGGCGAGGTGGCTCTGATAAAGGTGCAGCATGGATTTCGTGCCACTGGTGTGGAACGCATAAGCAGTCGCGCTTTGGGCGGCTCCATAACCCTCGACATAGGGCTGTATGCCCTGCAATTGGGTCAGTTCATCTATGGCACTGCGCCGATTAAAATCAAGGCCAGCGGCACATTAAATGGCGATGGCGTCGATGTACAATCTGAGTTCACTCTAGATTATGGCAATAATAGGCGCCTAATCGCGCGTGTATCGGGCCTTGAGAGCTTGGAGAACGATGCGAGAATTGTGGGTAGTAAAGGGGAAATTAAGGTGAGCCCTTGCTTATCTATCGTTGCAACCTATCGATTTGTTCATTGCTTATCAGCAGTTCACTGAACTCTATTGAGTGTGTATTACAATTTCACTTCCCCATTAGCTTTCCAATTACTGGTGCTGTACGCAGTTGACGAGGCCAAATGGATCGACCGAGTCGTGGCCCTTACCTACAACTTCTAAATTTGATTTTCATCATACAAACTCTTGTGGGCTGCGCTACGAGGCTGAGGAGGTGCGCCAATGCATTGAGAAGCGGATGCTGGAGAGTCCAAAATATACGCATGCGGCCAGTCTGGAATTGATTGGAATTGAGGATGAGATACGGCGACAAATTGGTGTTACTTTCGATGACGTCATTGGGTTCAACAAATAAACAAATCACTTTCAAATAAAACCATGTTGTTATTCTAATCCACAAAAGTTGTTATTCGAATTTAGAAAACAGTGGAGTTTCCGGACTCTCAATCAATGCCCGAATTAAATCACGAAAGCGTTATTAAAAATCTTCTAAGCTATATGTAGCTTTTTTCGAATGCTGCTATTATTTCCAAATCTAACGAAATTCCGCACATGCTGAAAGATTGGTTCTTATTTCTCTACGAATATTAGTGAGATTTCAGAGGATTTCTCTCTATTCGTCACATGAAATTCTTTAAATTCTAGAATCTGAATTTGTGTGATTGGACGGACTGATTGATGGCAAGTCTTCATAAAGTACCTTTTAAAAGAATTAGGATTCAGTTTCAAGTTTTAAAAAATGCTGTTTCGTGGCATTTTTGTTTGATTTTTAATCTACAATAGTTAATATGATTAAAAAATATGAAAATGAATTAATGTTAAATAAAATGACTTACCTTATTAACGACATTCACAGACTCTTTCCATTACGCTTTCCCGAACCGACTTAGCCTGAATGACAAATCAATTGAACACCGAGTTGCTTTATATTTTGTATTCAATGTTTATTTAAATAATTGCAATTGCTCTGTTGCATTACACATATTACTAATTCATGTCCTACTTTATGTTGTTGATTCTGTTACTGTTTTTGTTGCTGTTGTTGTTCCATTAAGGCTACAAATGAATACATACATATGCATAGTGCATGTATGTTTCAAGTCAATTTTTAAACTTAATCAAATGAATACTCACAAATGCTGGTGCGGCCCGAAATTTAGCTCCGCAACAGCCTAACAACAAAGTCTAGAAATACTTATCGAGTTAAAGTAGAAGTTAGGCGGATAAGTTTTAAATAAAGCATGTTAACTAAATACAAGAAATTAAATGTAAAAAAAAGTGGAAAGTAACATTGCTAATAAAATTATATATCTTAACTAAATAGTGTATTTAAAACATTTTAACAAAAAGTAAGGCAATTAAAAGATAAATAACATTAAGGTTTTCGTCTTAACAGTTCAACTTTTTTGAATGGGAAAACAAATAGAGTGCGAAGGCGTAAATTCGTTAGATAGCGCAGAAATGGAAACAATTTTGGAATTACACACAAAGATTTCGGTGAGACTATCTAGTTATTGAGAAGTTCATAAAGTTCGACCAATTTTTAATATTAGCGGGTTTGTGAAAACTTTCCAAATTCAATTTAGAATAGACTATTTGCTTTTCATTTAAAACATTGTAGAACGTGATGTTTATGGACCACTTGTACATATATGCTTGTGCATTGGAAGTATTCAAAGTGTTTTCTCTTTACAAATCAATAGAGCATTAGAGATTACATAAGAGCGAAAACATATGGATGATCCACGTTGTATATAATAGAAAAACAGTGAATCATTAGCTAAATTACATCTTTTTTCTTCTCTAAAACTAATTATAATTTAACAATAAAAATGATTTTTACAAAACAAGAATATTGAATTCTTGATAGGAGTACAGGATTGGGGGGAGAATTAACACAAAGTAGCTGCTGCTTTCTGTTGTCAAACAGACATTCCTAGATTTGTTTTGTTTTTGTTTTTTTTTTTTTTTTTTGATTACAACGCCAACGCGCACCTCGACGCCACTTATGCATAAGTAAGTCTTGTTGTGTGAAAAAACCAAGGAATTTCGTTTCGGTTCCTTTTGGGCCTAATCGGTGGCGCAACCCCCATTGAGACTGACGTCTAATGGTTGTCGCGGCTGTGGCGTTGACGGTGGCTGCTGGAGTGGCATCTGAGCGGTCGATTTCGCGCCCATCCCAGTTGCAGACTCTGGCAGTTTGCCAGCATTGGGCTCCAGCACGGCCACAATGGGCGTGGGATTCAGCATGGGGGGCGGTAGTTCGTCAAAGGCCATACAACTGCGTTGTGCATCCTCGATGGGGGGCGTGTCTATTGAGTCCATGACCGTGTTCGTATTGCCCGCCCCGCTATGCTGTCTCTGATCGGTAACAGCGCTTCCTGCGTTGCGTCCGCCGGCGGCATAACCCAGCGAGCTGCCGGGGGATTCGGAGACGGCCACGAGTGCGGCGGTGGTGTTGCGATTGTGCTGCAGCAGATCGTTGATTTGTGAGAGGCGCGAGGAACTGGCAATAGGTGAGCTTAGGCTGATAAATTCAGAGGCACTGCCGTTGCCGCCTCCAGCCGCTTGGCGAGCGCCACTGAAGGCACATGTTGCCGTGCCAGTGGGCGCAGCCGCAAGGAACGTTGTGGTCGAGGTCATTGAGGCGGTGGTTTCGAGTACGATCGCATGGTGATATTGAATGGCGGACGCAGTGGTTGTGGCAATACCAAATGGTGGCGCCGATGGCACTGCACAGGAGCTGTACGTACTGGGTGGTAAAGCGGTTCCAGCTGCTCTCACTCCTGAAGGCGAATATGAGCCGCTCACGCTGGCGCTGCTGCTGGTCTGATGTTGGTGATAGGCATTGTAGGGCGACAGCTGTAAAAGATGTAAAGGCTTTAGTTTGGTTGAGAGAATCTGTTTGTAAATGTGTTTGCCACTCTCAAACTACTGCTTTCTGGAAAGCTAAACAAATAATCATTTAGAGCGCGAGGTGAAACACCTATTTCTTTAATGATATTCATACATTTTTTATTCATGGCAGGTGTGCGTTGCCTTCTGCATGCTACTCGTTCCTCAGCACTTGTTGGGCTTATTGATTTTTCAACACAAAGTCTAATCTATTGGATCGATCGTAAAGTATTTGTTAAAGGGTACTAGTATTAATAAGACTAAAACGGGAAAACGACAAGTTTATTTAAATATGTAAAAGCCAGGGCCTGTTTCAATTCATCAGACAATTCACCATTTAATTCTCGATTTGCCAGCGCTTAGGTAAGCAGAGGAGGGCGACCACAATAATTTTATTTAATTTATCAGAAATTTCACAATTTAAATCCATAATATTATAATTTAATTCATCAGAAAATTCACAATTTAATTCACGAGGTACGCTTAAATTTTTTAGAAATTTAACAATTTAATTCTCGATTTTCCAGCGCTTAGGTACTTGGTATGAGAATAGCAGAGGAGGGCAACCACAATATTTTTATTTAATTTATCAGAAATTTCACAATTTAAATCCACAATATTATTATTTAATTTTTTAGAAATTTCACAATTTAATTCTCGATTTTCCAGCGCTTAGGTACTTGGTATGAGAATAGCAGAGGAGGGCGACCACAACATTTATGCCCTGTACCCAAAGGGTGAAAGGGTATACTAGTTTTGTGCGAAAGTATGTAACACACAGAAGAAGGCGTGGCAGAGTCCACAAAGAATATATATTTTTGATCAGGGTGACAAGACGAGTCTATATAGCCATGTCCGTCTATATGAACGCAAGGATCTCAGAAAGTACAAGAGCTAAAATAACCAAACTTTGTATCCAGATTATCCTATGTCCGAGAAAGGACGAGTTTGTGTGTTTTTTTTTTCTGATGCAGGGACTCTTATATAAGACTGTTTTGTCTTGTTTAAAAACAAAGCTAAACCTAGTGGCTTAATGATTCTCATTTTGCTAGTGGGAAAGAAAAGATTTCAATGAAGATTTGGATAATTACATAATTCCTTGACTTCGGGAGGCGCAATATCCAACTTCCAGATTATTGAAAATATTGATTGCAATATATTTGACGAGTTCCTGAGCAAAACTATTCGCAAATGTGGCTAATCAAGTGCAGCGCTCTTTGGATCACTCACCTGCGAGGCATTAGTACTTGTAGCTCCACCATAGCTTAGGCTGTGATACGTGGGCGCCAGTAGTTCGCCGTATGAGGGCGTGGCATTAGTGCCGCTGGCAAACAGATTCGGATCCAGACTATCTATTGCATACTGAGGAGTGTGCAGATCCGGATGCGAGCTATAGCTGGATTGTTGTTCCTGCTGCTGCTGCGCCGCCGACGCTGATGTTGGTGTTTGCTGCTGATAGTAACTGACGCTGCCATCGGGCGTGTAGGCTGGAGAGGCATAGCCGGAACTATAGTTCGACTGAGTTTGCATAAAGTAGCAATGGGAAACGGCAGCTGATACGCCGCTGTTCCCACTGCTGCTGTAGTTTAGGGTGTTGCTTGGATTTTGTCCCTGACGCTGTTCCATATCCAGACGCATGACCGTGTGTATATAATGGGTGCGGACACGCGTCGGATTGAATTCGACGCGTCCGACAGTGTTGCCGCATGCCTCACGCGTGCAACCGCACGGAAACATGGCTCGATCCACCTGGCACTTGATGCCCGCCTGACTGCAGGCACATGTCTCGGGATCACAGAACTCGCGACACGAACAGCCACACACTTCGCGGGAATTGCGAATGTCGCGGCATTCGATCTTTTCGCTTGCATCGATTTTGCGGACTCCCGCTGCCTTGAGCAACGCTCGCCGCTGTTTGGGCGTCACCGGCTGTAGGAAGCCATTGGAGTCACCATCCGCATCCGAGCCACTTCCCTCACTCAAGTAATCCTCTTCAGACTCCTCGGTGTCGTCGCTGGAGGAGCCACGTGGCTGCATGTCTGGATTTTGATTGCGGTGCGCTCGCCTCAGTTCCGCCGCATGCTCCGCCAGCGTCATGGTCTTAAAGGCAATATGTCTGGCGCCCATGCCCAGCGTGCAGCCGCCGACTGTGGGCACACAACCAAATCCCTGCTGGCGTGGGAAATAGTACACTTGGACAGAGTCAAAATTGATGGATCGCTTCTGACGCTTCGTCGTGGATGCGGCTGAGGTGGTGCTCATATCTGGTACCAGATCCATGCCATCGGCATCCTCGAGTCGTCGCTTTAGATTGGAGCGCAACGGCCGCTTTGGGTCGCTGCTGGCCTGGGAGGTGGAAGCCACTGGTAAGTCTGTGGCATCGCTGCTGTTTGGGATTGTCCCCAACGACGTCCCTGTAGGGACTCCTTCATGTGTGGGCGCGGCTTTCGCGCTGTCGCTTCGGCTTGTAAGCGTCATTTGCAGTGTTGAGGTTTCGCTGCCCAAGCCAGAATCGGAACCACCATCGCTGCGCAACTCATCCTCTTTGGTCTTAACATGTGTGGGTGTGACGCTTAATTCAGGGCCATGCGAATGATGCGCCGTTGCCTGTAAGCTGGTGGAGGTCTCCTGCTCATCGCCATCGGGCGGCAGTTTCAACCACGTTAGGTCGCCGCTGGTATCCACCTCTTCGTTAGTTGTCACCGACGATGAGTCCAACACATTGTCAGAATCACGAACCAGCGGCTGTGTGAAATCATCTATGGCCAGGGGATCTTCGGACACATTGTCTGACGCAAGCGATGAATTGAGATCCGTATCAGCAAGTACAATGATCTCATTATTCGGAAAATTATCTAGCTCGAGATATTGCTCGTCCACTTCCACTTCTTCGTCATCATCATCGCCGTCACCATCGGCCGCACCCTCGTCGTCTTCATCCTCCTCATCGTCGCCAACGCCATTGAGTTCGTGGGGTGCTTCGGCAAAGTCGGCGAGCTCGTCATCGAGCTGCGCGTTTGGCGACGTTTGGGGCTTCACTTTGGTCGCATCGATAATGGAGGTTTTGATTTGACTCTCAATATCGTATTGAAATTCCTCATCCTCCGCTATGAATTCTTCTGGATCTTCGGCGTCAGCATCATTGTCTTGAGCATTTTGATCGATTTGCCCAGCAGTTCCGGGCAGGTCGTTGGCACCAGCCTGGTATGTGACACCACTCTCGTTCTCCTCTTGCTCTTCGACATCGCTGCCTCGGTTCGTCTTCCCACCTACGCCTTCGTCGTTGGCCAAAATGCTGTTATTGGTGCTTGATGTGTTGCGAAACATGTTGTCTCTGCTGGCATTCTTCTGTATGTACGTGAGTATCTTTTTTAATGGATTAAACATGCTACCAACTAGTTGTTCCGCCCGCTACTGCTCCTGCTTCGTCGATTAGGGCCCAGAGATTTAAAGCTGCATTGACTTGACGATAATATGTGCTGCCTCAGCTTTACTTGGTCCATCTGTAAGGCGATGAAATAAATTAGATTCTTAGCATTCACAAACATATAGCCGCAAACACACACGCACACAATTTATATACATATGCACATACATATACATATATGTATGTACATATTATATACACATCTGCTTGTGCATCTAAACTGCAGGGCGCGCCTCTTATGCCACCTGCTTGCAAGGACAATACTGGCAAGGACCCGCCTTGTTATGTGTGTAACGTGTGTAATTAAAAAAATAATAATAACAAAAAATTACCTCATAATCAAAGACTTCGGGCTTGCGAAAAAAGAAATCTCAGCTTCAAAGACTAAAACCGAAAAAAGAATAGCTATGTATTCAAAAATAAAAATAAAATAATAAAACCAACAATGCAATTGTCATAATTATTGATCTTTATGAATTACTTACCTCTGCGCGAGCGGCACACTCCAGTTAACCAGAAGCTGATTTCTAAATTTGTGCTCCTTTTTAGTTTTTGCGTTGCAGCTGCAAAAACGACGACACAATCAACCAACAAAACGGCTGACTGGATGACGAAAGGCGCACCGCAGCCGCTGCGAAGTCGCTTCGAGAGCCTGTGCGGACGTGTGTGTGCGAGTAGAGCAGACGCAGGGTGGCAGCGGCTTTGACAGCGACGGCGGTATGGTTGTATGTGTACGATTATGTTTGTGTGTATGTGTGTGTGTGTGCGATCCGTAACAGGACGCGCTAATTGTTTATTGTTGACTATTTTGTTACACTTGGCAACTAGATTTCGAATTCATCAAGAATTTCGTTTGCATTATTTAATCATAGTTAGAGCTTTCAAATTCTAATTGAATTTTCACTGTGACGTTTCACGTCTCATCCACTACACTGTCACTTTAGCTGGCTAAGCTCTTCCCAATAAAATTGGAAAAAATATTTTGTATTTGTTTAATAAAATGTTTAACACACATACACAATGGCAGCTCTATTTTTATACCATATTTTGTTAATAATTTTTTTTTAATATTTATTCGACTTGCAATAGAGTGTGTCCAACTGCGCTCGCTAGTAACGCACTAGAAATTACAGTGTTTCTCATTTCGAGCATACCGAAGGAAATGCGCTATATAATCTCAAACTTGCAAGTGTGTACACACTCATATTTACAGTAAGTGCTACTCTGGCAGTTAGCATTTAAAATAATTGCATTGGATTTTGTATTAATATTCTTCAGTTATATGCTACTTGGATTCATTTCATTTTCGAATTGTTAAATTTCCAACCATATTGATTTAATAATTTTTTAAGGAAATTCAACTGATGAAACAGTATTTTCTGTAAATGTGACAAACGAAGAAGTTTTCATTGGAATTCGTCAAATGCCTAAATAATGTGTGGGTCGTTTTAATGTTTGGGTTTAGGTTTTAATGAATTTTAAGTTTTAGAATCAACACTATTTTTGAAAAGACTTCAAATAGAAAAATATATGCGATTTACAAATCTCGAAGTATATGTATTTTAGTTGTATAACCACATTCAATTGAGAAAATAATAAATAAATAAATAATATAAAATTTTTGTATTTTCTGAAAGTACAGGAAAATATACCTATTTATTATATACTCGTATGTACTTTCAAATATACAAGTAGATGTAGGAGCACTGTCTGGACTCACAACAGTCTGTTTGATTGATGTGCATATTTAAATGATAATTTATTCTAGACTATACACTCTTCAAAGTTTTTACTGTGTAAAAATAGTGCCGACTCATTTTATAAATCTATTACGTATACACCCATTGCTATCTATAATGGGACTTAAATTAACAACTGTGATAGGCTGAATAAAGCTTTCTTGTCTAAGCAAAGATGGAAGCGCACGCGACAAACCGACTAGCATTTATCAGTCGAATATAAACATATACAAATACTATATACTAGATCTCTGTACTCTCCTACTTGCATATCATCATTAAGAGGCATTGGTTGGGGCTGTTGTCGGTACAATCAGTGGCCGTTTGATTTAGTTAGATTCTGAGGGCCAAACAGTTTAGACAGTTGCGCTAAAATGGCAGATCAGGATACAAAATTACCAACCTGGTTGAGGGCAGAAATATTTGAGGACTTACTGAAGCAGCAGGTGAAGGGTTATACGAGCACCAAAGCATTACGGGCCAGTGCAGGCGTCCCTCCCGGCGATAACTATGCCACAATAATGTTGCGTGTCGAACTGGATGTGGAAACTGAAGGTTAATAGCGAATTTTCAAAGCCCTATGTGATATCTACCATTGCATTTTTATATATCACAGATAAATCAAATCTTATCAAAGCTTATATGCTGAAAATCCCACATCAATCGGAACGGTATCGGGAAATGATGAAGAAGACAAACATTTTTGATATAGAGCAAGGGATGTATACGCATGTAGTGCCCGAGTTGGAGCAATTATATAAAGATGTGGGACTATCTGTGAAGTTTGGGGCCAGCACCTATGAAATTCCCGCGGGAGAGGACTACGTTTTATTGGAGGACTTGCGGCCCAAGGGTTTTAAGAACGCCAATAGGCTTGATGGTCTGGATACTGTGCATACGAAATGTGTGCTACGAAAGTTGGCCCAATGGCATGCAGCCGCGGCAGTACGTGTGGATGCAAAAGGACCCTATGAAGAGAAGTACAGGAAAGGATTCTTCAATGACGACAATCGTGAAGTATTGGTCGATATGAATGGCAATAATATGAAGTCGTTTTTGAAACACATTAAGGAATATAAGGGACTCGAGAGCTATGTTGAAGATTTCGTAAGCACCGCTTAAAGATATTACATACACACACATTTATAAAACTTTTGATCGTTCCATAGCAACAAATATCCCAGAAAATGGTGGATGTAATAAGTAAAATGAGCGAGCCGGATCCGAATGAGTTCAATACCTTGAACCATGGCGATTGTTGGTCCAATAACATCATGTTTCAATACAATGAGAGCGGTGACATACAGGAGACTTACTTCGTGGACTTGCAAATACCAAAATATGGCACCGTTGCCCAGGATCTTTTCTACTTTTTGCTTACATCAACGAATTTGGATATTAAGCTATCGAAATTCGAGTATTTCATTCAGTTCTATCACGCTGCGTTGATAGAGCATCTGAAATTGTTGAACTACAAGCGGAACCTACCAACGCTCAAAGGCATACATCAAGCGCTCGTTAAATACGGCAGTTGGGGTTAGTAGACATTTTAAGACTAGCCAGTATAAGGACTTAATTGAACCGTATTGCCCACAGGATTCTTTTCAGTGGTCAACATTATGGGCGTGGTGCTGCTCGATCCTAATGAGAACGCTTCGTTCGATAGTTTCTTTGAAGAAGGTGAGGAAAACAGCTTCAAGAAATCTGTATTTACTAATCAAAGATATCGCCGGCACATGGAGGCCATAGTGCCTTGGCTCCAGAATAGAGGTGCATTGGAGTAGTCCATGTTGAGTTTATGGAATAGCTGTATGAATTTGTTAAATAAAATATAATATATATGGTGGTAAAACAAACGTTTCTTTGTCTATAGCTATATGAGTTGATGGTTTTCAGTTAAGAAGCATATTCCTTCTATTGTCTGAATTTAATTTCAATAAAATGAAAATGAAATGAAAATCTAAGAGCTTAAATCTAGCTTCTATATTGGTAAACAAAAATGGATCAAGAAATGCTCATCTATTTTTAGAGTGCAGACCTCAATAGTATTACTATGCGAAAAAAAACTACAAGAAACGTCAGCAATTAATGTTTATTGCTATATATAGTATTTTAAAATTATCTAATCATATACATACATGATAACGACGAACCACTTAAAGGTGATGCTTCAGATTAGCTGAGGTCAGTCGTGTGTAATTATTTTTTGTTTAAAAGCTTAAATATCTGAATACGAAAAGCTTTTGTCGAGCTCCAAGTTCAGTTATATTGTGCTTTGAAAAAACAATTAATAATGTAGTTCGTGAATGAATCCAATCAGACATGTTATGAATATCGTTGATCATTCAACCTGTCGCCAATACGAGACTCTATCTAAGAATACAAATTAAGTTCATGTTTTGAAGATAAGCTATAAGCTCTTCCAAGAGAGCCGACTATATCTGGCTTTTTGAAAGACAGAAATGATTCATCTAGTATTAAAGATCCATACATTTGGGAAACGGGTAGATTATAATTATTAAAGTCGTATGTATCAGTCTATCATTAGTGGGAGAAATCTATGTGAAGTTCCTAAACGTTTAAAGCAATCGCCATCAATCCTCAAATAACTTTTCAACTCACTCTCAATATTCTTTAGTTCTTTCATTTACACCCTCTTCTTTGTCAGCCCGTCAGAAAATAACCCACCCATCTAAAATTTATCTATTTCTGTACATTTACTTTTAACATCTTTAATTAAACATAAACGTAACTGTGTAAACAAAAAAATATGAATTTTCTATTTTGGCAAAGTCGGCGAAGCGAAAAGCTGTTTGGTTTTCATGGTTTCGCGAAATTGCTGAACAGAAAAAAGTTCATTCTGATCATAATGCTGCCTCTTTAGATCCTCCCAGATAGTTTCAAAGCCGTCTTTGTCAACAATTTCCTTAAAAATACGTTCTAATTGCTCTCTCTCCCGCAACTTTTCGAAATCACTCAGCCCGAGGCCCAATAAGGTAGCGATGTTTGGCGCTATAAGGTGTTTGGCTCGTGTATGGTCATCGTCATGCTTCTCATCCTTAACCGGTTTTAGCTTCCGGGGGCTCTCGTTGGGCTTCCTTTTGAGATCGGAGCAGAGCAAACGATAGGTAGTATCCTTGTTGTAAAAATTAATGGGAATTGTGTAAATATTGCCAAGTGTTGGCAGCGGTTCCTGGAGCGACAAGAGGCGACAAAACTCTCGATAGTTGATCCGCTCTGTGGCACAGCCCTCGTCCAATATTAGCTTGAAATTTGACATAGCGATGCGCATCTTCTCATCGTCAATCCGCAGATGCATTTTGCGCATAATATTGAAAATTCTTTTCAGCGGAAGATATCCGGTACGGTCCTTGTCGTCCCGCTCGAGCACCGAAATCAAATCGAACATTTCAAAATCAGGGCACTCCTGCAACTTGTGGCGCCACTTATTTAAATGACCCAGAGCATCGATAAGTTTCTTATTGTTAACGCAAGGATCGATATTTTCAATCAGCATTTTGCAATCGCAGACGGAAGGAACACTGGCAGTGCCGTGGGTGATACCAGGTGGAATATCGTACGGATAGCTTTTGAGTTTCTTGCCCATGCGACTATGCGAGCGATCTATGTAGTCCATTTGAGGTTTGCTCACAATTATCCAATGGTCACATTGTTGCATGCATCGCTTTGTCTTTAGACCGTTGTCTCCAGTGCAACCCAGTTTTCCGAATGTACCCATACGATTGAAAGGCTTTGTGTATCTAAAAAAGAACAGACTTTACAATGTAGAGGGAACCAATATAAGAGATCAAAGTTTTTACTTGCGATTGATCTGCTCTGCTGGCCAATAATGGTTGTGACTGATTAAATGCTGTTCATGGAATTCGCCGTACTCGCGGTTTACCTGTTCAGCCGATTTTTGGGGCAAAATTGTGGTATATAACGGCTCTGATGGGCCCGGTGGATGCCCAAATGTGTAGTTAACATTATTCACGTCGTTAGGCTTCGAAAAGGCTGGCTTAACACGGCCCACCTTGGACTTTTTTAAGTACATGTCCTCTGTAAACTTCTCCTTGAACGCGAGAAAACGCGATTTAGTCAGTGAACCTGAAAATATTTCCTCCATATTGTTGTTTGGCATTATTGGTGAAAGCTTCATTAGCAGCGGAGCGTTCTCTCTTCTTTTGCGCCTGCATTCTGCTTGGATCAGATGCTCTGCCTTTTCTTCAATGTGGCTGATTGTGAGGCAATCTTGGGTTTTAAAGTCATCCAAGTTTGTTGAGACGCCAGCAGCGCGCAAAGTCGGATTCCGATCTATATAATGGCCAGTATTCGCCATTATGACTCAATATTTTGTATGTGTGTGAGTAGTGACTTAAAATTTCTTTAAATAAATGAGATATTATTTCAGATAGATTTATGAATGGGAAATTGATTTGAATTCAAATTTAAAATGAAATTTCGAGTGGCATTTTTTCGTTTTTTTTCTTAAAGTCTGGCAGTGCATTTGTCAATACGGTGACTGTGTTATCGAGAATCGATAACATTTATGTATATTTTGTACATCCCTAATCTGTGTTTGCGTGAATAAAAAAGTGTAAGTGGGTCCTGCAGAGCAAGGCTGTAAAACAAGTGCAAAATTCGATTTACGCTGCGAAAAGGGATATTTAAAGAAAAACGTCTTAGATTTTGCCATTAAAGACAAACGCAATATTGCGTTTCCGTGCAATTTATAAAAACAAGACTGCAGCGCTGTTGACTCTCGGAGGCGGAGGCAGAGTCATCATTCGTTGTCTGTCTCTCTCTGCGTGCGTTTGCTGGCAACGCGAAAAAAGTCGAAAATCAGTGTTTTTACGGCAAACAACAACAAAGTGGCAACAGTTTGGCTGATAAGGTGCTCAGATCGTTGCAGCCCATTCAAAGTGCGTAATGTGTACGGGGTGTTTGGGAAATTTGCGTTGCTATTGCATTAATTAAGAAAGTTGTGTAAAATTTTTCTGCCCTCCATACTACTATCGTCATCCATAGCGCAGCAGCAGCGTCGCAGTCGTCCAAGAGAGCCAATTTACTCCAACATACACACACACACAGGCACAAATAGCAAGTAGTATGAACGAGTGCGATAGATAGTGAGGAATTTGGGTGCGTTTGAAATGTGCTCGTGTGTTAAAGCGAATCAGCAATACTGTCTATCAGTGTTTTACTCCATCGCACAGTGGTCTGGTATTGCGCTAACCTAGCGTTAAAATGTACACACTTTTTTTTATTGTGATAACCAAAAATAATACAGCATTTGCAGCATTTTGATAAATAATCCATTCGCATATTTGCTGCATGTCATTCTGTTTTGGATATGATTGTCTTAAATGCATATAAACAATTCTTTGTTCTTCGAGCCATTTTGCGTCGTAGCTTGAGAATTGTTTTTGCGCCGCTATTAAATATCTGGCTGGCATATGCAAACCTTATAGCTTTGTATTTGTATTGACATACGTACATATTTATTCATATATCTATCTACATACATATGCATATTCCTTTCTTATCGTACCACTTCGTACCACTACTTGCCGTAGAGCGGCACCCTTATCTTTAATAAAGCGCGGGTTACTTCCTTTTAGCGAGAATACGAGCGCAAATCTTGGAATTCGCCACAAAAGTAAACAAAAAGCATCGTCATCAGCAAGTCTCCTTTTCTGAATGGGTAAACATCTCTGTTATTACTCATTTTATTGTCTCTCCTATTTTATATCGACAAGATCTGTCGACGTGTTGAAAGAATGGCTAAGCCTCAAATTTTTTAAAATGTCGCATTCCAAATCATTGATTGTTTTGCCAATTCATTAGTACGTACGCCATTTTTATGAGAATAACACGCAGAAGTGCTCGCTATTGCACTTGTTGACTTAACGCTGAAGTTGAGTGGAAAATAAGCACAGTCGCGGTAGTAAAAATAGCTCCATCTAATCTAGTTTAATTGTTAACGAACTCAAGTAACTCATTGATAGTGGGGCTGGCACCTAGAGAAGGCACCTTTATGTATGTATGTGTGTTGTAGTTAAAAACAAGAAATCAAGTCTTTGTTGTTTTTACTTATTAACTTGAGTTGAGAAATAACTCTCATATCTATACATATGGCCCATGTTGTCCATTGCGCTCTGCTTTGTTTTACTCTCCAGTTTTTAACACTTGTTCGTATGTCCCGCCGTCTGCCCACTCGCTGTTTGAATGACGCATCGTCAGCTGTTCAACATTCTAGTACGGTAATTTCCTGCCTAGGCGAACGTTGTTTTATATTTTATTGAATTTTCCGTGCACGGATCGGACCCGCCGTCATAGTTTTATACGTTTGTAGGTATAATTTTTATTTAATTGCTCACCTACATTAAGCATACATATGTGTATGGATTTGTGTGCGTATGTGTGTGTGTCAGACAATTGAAAGCGCAGTCAAGTTATTCAATTTGCGTTTCGTCTTTGTTGTTGGACCTAACCGCGTGTGTTCCTTGCCGTTTTGCCAGCTGTCAAATAACGGGTTTACAAATATAATTGTGTTGTTACTCGCCATGACGATTATGAATTGTGCAGTTAACGAAATGTGCTTAAAATCGAGAAAAGAAAACTTGTACTCCAAAAAAAGCGACGTCATTTGAAATCATGTGATTTTTGTATTAATTTAATTTGGATGTGCGCTGTGTATATGCGTTAAGGGCCTGCGAAAATGTCTGGTTAAATAAATGTTTGCAAAATGTCTGCCTTCGGCTGTTACAATACGAAAAAAGCGATATACTGCAACTACGTCACATCACAATTGCGAATAACAAAAACAATTGAAGTGAAATTTTTATCGCACTAGAGCAACTGCAAAGAGAGACGAAATAAGCCAGACGTGCTGTGGGTGTGTGTGCTCCAGTGTGTTTGTCTGTGTGTCGCTGTTTGTCTCCGTGCTTGACAACTCATTTACTCACTCTCACTAACTTACCCGCTCACTGCTGCACTTTGTTCCAAAGCGCCAAACGGGTCTGCGAAAAAACAATAGAAACGCAAATATTTGTTTGTGTTCCAAGCGGCGACGCGACGACATAATTTCAATATTTTTAATAATTTTTAATGGGTGAAAGCGTTTATGTACTTTAAAATGTTAATGGCAAATGTATGTAGCAGGCAGAAGGACGAGACGAGAACTTTTAAGGAGAGGATTTGTAAAAATCATATAAAAGAAAATTTAGTATTGAAGAACTTTTGATAATGCTTCGCCGTAATATAAATAAAAATCGGTGAGCTGTCCTAGTTTGATAAGTTTATTTTAGTTGGAAGGACTGAGGCAGATATAGAGGCGGTTACAGGGTATGCAAGAGTCGAGTTGGCGTTACTTTAACCTTCTACTCGTTTCATTATATGTACATGTTTCATTTTTGATGAGTTCGAGATTTTTAGTCTCTCTTTGTGCTGGGCACGACGTCGCCTGCATAGTTTTACATTTTTGTATGGGAAGGCAAGTGCAGCAACCATTAAGCGGGCGCTTAATTTAATAATGACAATCATACAAACATACGAGAAAAAACGTGCAGCGCCACAGTTTGTTATTATCTCTAACTTTCTCCACATTTCCTATTCCAGCATCAATATCTCTGGACGTGTGCACGATTCATTTTCCATTGATTTTTATTACAACCTTTGTATAGCTCGTTGAAGATCCGCTTAAACTCGTTTTAATAGTATGTTGACGTAGCTTCTATGTGTTTCTCACTGGCTCTCAATTGCGCTATCCCTCTCTCTCTCTCTCTCTCTCTATCTAACAATTAGCATTGTTTCGTTAATTAATTGTTCCCTTTTGGAATTCTACGAGCAATCTTAAAAAATAACGTTCGCGTGTTTTTTTTTAATCATTTCCAATTTGTGATTTGAAATTTGTCTAATAATAATCATTCCTGCAATACTGCAGTTCTAGACAATCTCTCAGCAATACTATGCCAATGTCTTTTATGAATCATGCTACAGCTTTTTGATATGACTAGTTGGCGTTATCTTTCGTGAATATATGAGGCGTCATGCGTGTGGACACCCAGCCGGTCTATCTACAAATTTAATATTCATACATATACATATGTACGAGTATATATACATATATAGAAATTGCTATGCTCGATAGCGGGTATCCACCCGGGTATATATGTATGTACCCTTGATATTCAGTAGTTGATTTCGGGCACTAAATTGCCCACCTCCAAATAATTTATCTACAATATTATTATCTATAAAAAATACTTATAGTCAGACATCACACAATAAGCATGTACATGTGTATATTTAATTTAAGATAAGATAGACCGATAACACTAGGCAACATGATGACAAAGGATGATTTTATCTTGAGATCTTGTGCTTGCAAATGTAAAGATGGTGTACATATTATAAAAAAGGTCTTATTGTCTTTCATGAAATAGCAGAAAAGTTAATATATGTTTATCGTTCTTGGATGTAATGCGAAAGTACAAAGAATTGCCTACGAATTACTTCTTTTAAACATAGTAATTATCAATTATTCGAAGTATAAATCGGCCGCTCGCACTCTATTTTATCATTCTTCAACGCGATTAATTTCCCAGGCAATTTAGATTCCATTTTCGTTATTTCAAGTTTTGGAAATATTAGGTTTGCAAAAAATTCTAGAAACTATTTTAGAGGCTAGAGCTATATATTATGATAATAATCTATACAAATATTAGGAAGTCAGAAATGTTATGATTGCAATGTTTTGATACCGGATCGATTTGTTTGAGATCTTTGAATGAATTTCCAATTTGTATATACAGTGAAAACTCACTTCGCTGTACACTCACGGTGGGCAAATTTTTGTCCGCCCAAGGGGATACTTAAATACTTTATACACCGATCGCATGTTTTAGAAAAAGTTTCCCCCGAAGAGAGTGTCCATTAAAGGAGTTTTCACTGTACATATATCTAGTATAACAAAATGTTTTCATAACTTCATTTTCAATTATCATCATTATTCTATCAGCGCGTACTTCTGCCCTCGTCTTGTTTAGTTATATGTATGTGTGTCTAAGCATTTTGTTTGTGGTCCGCCAAATCCATTCACAAACCTTTCCACAATAATTGCGCCTAAACATTGCTAAGGTTTCGTCCCCTGTTGCGCGTGCTAGAAATATTTATAGTTGTTCACTAGTTTTGTTTTTGTTATTGCACTTTGTGACATTTGCTTTCGCAATTAACCATAAATGTGTGCGTGAGTCTGTTTACATGAATGTGTGTATGAAAATGTTTGTCGCCGACATGAGAGAGTTCCGAGACAAAAAAAAAAAACTTGACATTGAACTTTTGTATGGCCTAATTGAAAAGATTTGCTGGAAACTGGTCTCTCATTGTGTGCACTTTTTGTTATATTTGAGCGATTAGATTAAGATCTGTGTTCTTATCAGTATAAGATAAGCATTGGACATCTACTGATAGCAGAAGGTCGATGAGCAGAAAAGGAAGCAGCTGAATTGTACAAATTGAAAGCGACGTTTGAATTAAATGTATTCAGAATTTACCCTCAATTGTCCATGTTGAAAACAATATCCGAAGAGCTTGCGGACTGATTACGTAGCTTGATTCAGATTTAATCTATAATGTTTAGCGGATATTTTCCACACTCCCAACGGCTTGTGTAAATATATCTGATATTTAAATTATTTTATTAACAGTACGTAATCAAATAATGAATTCAGATAATTTGGAGTGGAGCTCTTACAAGAGCTCGCCTGTGTATGTATGTTCTATAATATGAAAGGATTGGGAGAATTGTCTTTTTTGCCGGTTATTTATCTCATCTATTAATATTTATTTTTCTGTGTACCCGGTAGCTTTGTTGACGCTTTTTAGCTTATCAACCTTTTCGAATTCAATGCAAATGTTAATTGTGGGGCGTAGCAAATTCACTTTCAGTTTATCTTTAGCTATGCATTCCGAGAGAAGTGGCGCCCTACCCCATACGTATTACTCCCCTATTTGTTTGTCGATGCGCAAAAGGCCTTTACTGAATGATTGTGTGGCAATAAAATTCAACAACTTTATTTTGTTGGGTGCGATATAAAGTCAATAAAGTTGTACTATATAAATGGATAAGGCCACTGAACGATAATCGCAAGCAAAATTGTATCAATAAGTAACTCATTCAATGTTTTTATTTCATTCTCCCTTACAGATTACACAGAGAAATCTTTCTTATAACGACCGTCCGCAATATCATAAACACAAACACACACATATAGAATCACAAATATTACAAAGTGTTGGACAACACCCCAGGAATATTCTCATAAATTCTCGTAAACTTTAAGTACAACGACAGAGCGACGACACAGCAGCAACAGCAACAGCAACAACAACAACAACACGACCAACAACAAAACAAATAAACAATATGGCAACAACACCACGCAGCGGTGGCGCATCGGGGGCTGCACAACGCCCGAATGGTACGTCCCAGAATAAAAGTTGCCAATTCAAATTGGTGCTGCTTGGGGAGTCGGCGGTGGGAAAATCGTCGTTGGTGTTGCGCTTCGTTAAGGGACAATTCCATGAGTATCAGGAGAGTACGATAGGTGCAGCCTTTCTAACACAAACCATTTGCATAGAGGATACGGTGGTCAAGTTTGAGATCTGGGATACAGCCGGTCAAGAGCGGTAAGTTCTCCAAACATTGTCGAAGAAATGCAATTTTTATTAACTTTACATTCTTTTTGGCCTTGCAGGTATCACAGCTTAGCCCCCATGTATTATAGAGGTGCGCAGGCCGCTATCGTTGTCTATGACATACAAAATCAAGACAGTTTTCAGCGTGCAAAAACTTGGGTCAAGGAACTGCATAAACAAGTGAGTATGCGGTCTGCGGAATGGATTCCCATATCATCTCTTAACTGCATCACTGAGTGCATTCATTTTTGTATTTCTGAGTCTTTGGGTGTGTGTGCGGAGACAAAGACACTCTGATGTATGTGTGCGATTGTGTTTGTGAGTGTGCGTGCCATGCCCAAGGTCAATGTAATCGCAAAAGCGTGCAGAATATATATGTATACGTATTCATTAAACAATTTACACAATTATTGCTGACTTATAAGCAAAAACTTATGTATGTATATATACTTGTATGTATAAACATATATGTATGTTTTTTAATACGTATACACATTGAATATTCAATAATTCGCGTGCATTGCTCTCATTCTTTGCTTCCGGCACTCTAGTGAAGCATATCACTACCTAATTATATGGATCGAGGCAGAAGGAGGCTTGCCAGACCCCACAAAGTATTTATATTCTTGATCAGCATGCCTGTCTGTCCGTATGAACACCTAGATCTCAGAGACTATTAGAGATAGGGACACAAAATTTTGTACACATATGTCCCATGTGTGTACGCATTACGAGTTTGTTTTATTTTGTTGATGCATTCAGTCTTGGCATTTGTATCATCTTATTATTTTATTCAAGCCTCCTAAAGGAACTTTCTATAAGTTTCTTTGGCACCTACCTTGTTTTATTTATTTTTTCTGAATTATTATGATTATGACATTTCCCAATGTATAGTAATGCTTTAGTACATAAACTATCCCATTGATCATGTTTTAAATATTGTATTATTTATAATTTTCAGGCCTCACCGAACATTGTCATTGCGCTCGCTGGCAATAAGGCGGATCTGTCGAACATTCGAGTTGTGGAGTTCGATGAAGCGAAGCAATATGCCGAGGAGAATGGTTTGCTCTTCATGGAAACGTCCGCGAAGACGGGCATGAATGTAAATGATATATTCTTGGCAATCGGTGAGTCTAACTAACATTCAAACTATTAATGGCAACTAAAGTATATTTATTATTTTGAAACTTGCAGCTAAGAAACTACCTAAGAACGATGGCGCTAACAATCAAGGAGCAGGCGCTGGCAGAAGGCTGAATGAGAACGAAACAAACCGACAGACGAACAACTGCTGCAAGTGATGTCCCTTTGTAGGTGAGGGTATATATATATATAGTTTTCAACATAGATGCGTTTTAATCGCCCTTTTATTTCTTGCAGAAAATGAAATTTCCAACGAGAGATTTGAAAAGTTTCTGCTGATAATTATAAATAAAAAAATTATTTAAAATTAAAAAAAAAAACTAAAGCGCCGGCTCATGCGAGCAAGCAATTTAATTTTGGTGATGATGAGAAACCAGAACATAAACATAATATTAATTATAAATTAAAGTTAAAAAGAACAACAAACCGTAAAAGGCAAAAGAAAGTTAGTTAAATAAACCAGAAACACATAACCCCCTATAAATAGTTCTATGAAATCAATTGGAAAATATCACTCTCCACACCCACACTCTCTATCTCTTCCCTTTCCAATTTGCCTCTGTTTGCAATTCCAAAACTCAAGCTACGTGCAGACACGTACTGTTGCAGATTCAACTAACAAAAGGAACGCAAACTTTAAGAATTTTTGATAATTATAACAAACAACAACAACAATAAAGTTAAATAAAACGTAAGAAGGTAGCGCAGATTGTTTTCAAAGCTCATCGTGTCGTAGAAATGTTTGAAATTGTAAAAATAAGAAAACAAAGAAAGAAAGTTGATAAAATTTACATTTTATGCAAATTTCAATGAAGCATGAAAACAAAAAAACATAAACAAATAACAAAGAAATTCCAGTTGCAGTTGTTCTCAGCAATTGCACGCCAACTCCCTCGATCAGCATCTGGAGATCCACTCGTCATCGTTGTCGGTCTATGGCAATGTGTGTGTCTGTCTGTCTGACTGGCTGGCTGGCTGGGCTCGTCGCGACCATTCTAAAGTCAAGATGGACACGTGTGATAGTTGCAAATTATATAAATTATATATATATATGTAAACAACAAATGAAATCACTCCTGATTTTCAATTTTTAGTTTGTTCTAAATTTACACCTATTTTTCACAATTTAGCAGCAATCAAAGATTTAATGCTACTATCTTAAAAGAAACAAGAAAAAAAGGAAAAAAAATTAATAAAATGATTGTAACCTTAAAAAAGTATGCAATTAAGACGTGAAGCCGTAAACACAATAAACCTTGAAATACTTTACATATTGCAACAGCAACAACAAAAACAAACAACCAATTTGTTTAAATGAATTCATAAATTCACACATAAATTTAATTTTGAGGAGTTCAGCACCCTACAGCTGTGAGTGTATTTTTTCCAATCTTTTATGTTGTATGTATGTATTTAAATCTAAAATTTATAATAAAATCGTATATATACATCTATATATATATATATAAAACGAATATCATGAGATTGTTCAAAATCTGGTGTCTAAACAAGTTATTTTTTCAATAACTGGTGGATTCTTGAATGCTTTAATTATGTTTTCAAACGGTTAGTCTTTATCATGTTTTTATTTGATGCTGGAAATATTATTTTTTATTGTTTTGAAATATTTTAGAATTGATGTTGTGTACCCTGAAATATCCATATTTTCGTAACTTGTCGGCTTACCTATTACTGCGTGAAAAGCATTTCGTTTGTTTGAATAATAACTATTTGTTTAAAGGTAATGAAGTGTCAGTCTTAATTTTTATATACTGTACCGAAAGGCTAAAATGGTATGCTATCTTAACAGTCTTTTTCTTAAAGCTCGAAATTTGTGGGGATAAGGTTGGACTATTGGGGGAAAAGACGTTTTTTGTACGCTTTTTTATAATCTGTACCTGAAAGCTACAAGATTATAATAAGTAGAAGGAGGTGTGGTAGACCCCACAAAGCATTTGTATACTTGATCAGCACTCGATTTAGATGTATCTGTCAATCCGTAAAGGTTTTGATTGAAAATTCCCAAGGGGGGGTTGAGGAGGGAGAACTTTGAATCTGTTTTTATACGGTATATTGGTTCCAGAAAAAGTTGTGTAAGAGAGGACATAGATCATATATTATTTTAACCATATATAAAGTTTTTAATTTTTTAAACCGTGTGAAAAAAGACCGTGTAAAAACAAAATTGGGGGTACATTTCTTTGTTCTCACAAAGGTCTCGCCATGCTGATTAAAAATATATATTTTTAATGGGATCGGAGATGTTTCATTCTCCCTGTTTCATTGCATATTCCTTCATTTCTCTTACACTTAACATAAATGATGGAACTGGAACAGTGAGAATAATCGTCGACTGTTCCTTGTTAAACCAAATCCATTTCGTTCTAGTTTCATGTTTTTAAAATATAGGGTCTTTGTTTAAATCAGCAATCTGTAAAACCGCAATTCGAAGGGAGCTTTATTAAGTATTTGATTCAGTAAGTAGCGCCATTTGCTATAGGATGGACGCCAAATATGTGCGAGTATCCTCCCACGAACACGTATCGCAGAAAAAAATGATTGCACATTTTAAAATAGTGATCCTTGGATCCATCTCTGTGGGGAAAACATCGCTTTTGTTGCGCTACGTTCGGGGAACATTCAAAGAGAATCTAGAAAGCACTATTGGTGCTGCATTTCTCAAACAAAGCATTTTAACGAATGGGAAGCTTATAAAGCTTGATATATGGGATTTAGCTGGCGATGAGCGGTAAGTAGATATATTCAAGATCAGCTTAATATTAATATCCAAACACAATAGCTTCCAAAGTTTGCAATCTATGTATTATAAGGACGCCGCGGCAGCTGTGCTTGTTTACGATATAACCGATTCAGAGTCCTTTGAGCGGGCAAAGAATTGGGTCAAGGAATTGCGTAGATGTGTGCGTAAAGATATATCTTTTGATTTTCGTAATGCCGTTTGAAGAACCCGTTCTCTTATATAGGTATTCCAGGAACTGGTCATTGCGCTTGTGGGTAATAAGTTGGATTTAATTAGTCGAGAAGTCGATTCCAAAGTAGCCCAAGAGTATGCTGCGAAACACAATTTACTATTTAGTGAGACATCTGCCATGAAGAACATAAATGTCTCGGAAGTTTTCATTAATATCGGTTAGTAAGCATTAATTGGTGACATTCATGAATTATATTTACAATCAAACTTCCATTAAATTAATGTCAGCGTCAAAATTGGGAAATAACATACCCACATTTGACGTGGACTTAGACGATGTACTTCCATTCGATGAAATGTGTGCCAAAGGAAAAGAAAACTGTGACTGTTGCGTTTTATTATAGAAGAAATAAATACTTTATTTTATTATTTACTCTTTTTAATTTTTGGTTTTTGCTGCAAACAAAAAACTATTAAATTAATTTTAGATACCAATTTCTGTGTAATACTGATACTTATAAAATAAATAAATATGATTTACTAATAAAGATAAAAATGAAAAGAACAAAGTTTGTGTTTTGTAAATATTTTAATTGAATCCCAAATAGTAGGTTGATGAATTCCTAAATCTCCTAGATTAAGTGAACGGATCTAATTTCAATATAACCGATAAGCTCTATAAATCTTGAGCTAGTATAGTCAACAACAATTACTATAACCTAAATAATAATAAACTTCTTCTGACTTAGATACCTTATGGGTGGAGAGGGTGAAGAAAGCTACGACATAGTAGTCTTTCGAAGAGCGCTCTACAAAGAAGAAACAAAAAAGCAATGCCGTCGTACAACCGGACAACTCACAGGTCATTCGTTGGTAGTTGCCTAATCGAATATACAATACAGTTGCTCTGAAGACTTTGAAAACTTATTGAGTTACATACGAGTATAGTTCATTCTTCTTTGTTTTTTTAATTTAAAAAAAAATGTTTTTTTAGAGAAAGTGAATTGTATTTGTATTTGATCTAAAACCACAGTGTAAAGGAACTATGTATAAGAATGAACTTATATTGGTTTTGTGAAGAATAATCGGGTACGTCAAAGCTTTAATAATTTCCCCAAGTGTTATTATTTTCGAACACTATGACAAATTTAATTATTAATATTATTTTGCGACAAAAGATTATTTTGATAATTTGGAAGGGCTTTTTATTTTCTTAGAGATGTTGGTTTTGCTCTAAATCGTAACCTCAATAAAGCTGGATATATAATTAAGTTGTCTACATAGATCTAATATATAGTCAGAAATTTCTTGGATCTCTTGGTATTTCAATTATATGTGCACTGATGTGAAATAAACTATTATTCTCATTAATATTCGGAATTGAATTATAGATGTGAAAGTCTGTTAGAGCATATTCATAATCTGTCGGAAGTATGATAGGAGGAATATATTTTCCCTTTATATGGTTGTTGACATATTAAAAGCTTATTAATACTGAAAGAAAATAGAATTATGCATTGATGTTTTGTAAAAAAAAATGCAGCTACTTTATTAAATTTTAATAAGTGTATCAAAGCCAAATCTATATCTTCCATTGTCGAATTCATCATCCTAGCTAATCAATAAAAATCCATATTTATTTTTCCAGCACAGCTAACAAATTTTCATAAATGTGTCAAACTTTCTATCAACACCATCATGATAATGATGTACACATATGGTTCAAATTTAATTCGTCTTGTTTGAACATGATTATAACATTAGATGTAGTAATTCCATTTATTTATACCCACTTACACGCATTCATTAGTAGCGCTGAATATAAGTTTTGATTAGAATTTGTAGATTAGAAGAGCTTAGAAACTATTTGTCTTGTGTGCGACACTGACCCCAAGTTTTGGTTTTTTTGTTTGTTGTGTTTTTTATATTGCACTTTATTTTTTATTTGTCTGGCTTTTTACCCTTATTATAAGTATATATAAAATGGATATTATGTTTTCATATTATATATTGGCTTAATATTTAAAGTTATAGTTAGGATAGTAGCAGCAAAACAAAGAAGAAGAAAATCGAGCACGCTTTAAACTCAGGATAAAGGATATCTGTAAGTTTTTTAATTTAAAACAGATTTAGTCATTTTATATAGTATTTCATCACTTCTTGGTTTAAGCACCCCTATATAATTATGAATAGTGAAGGGCAATGTTTGCATTTGATTCATACTTCAAAAGTACTTATAAATACACTTAGAATAAGGTATTTCTAGATATATTAATATGCTTGTATGAATTAAAGTACTATAGAAGAAAACACTTATGCAAAATGGGGTAAAAGGTAAAAGTGTAACATTACGTAGAAGTAGAAAAGTAAAAGTGCTATCTGGTTTTAAATATTTCCGTAGTAATTCTTACTTCTTTCTAAAAATGAAGTTGTCTATAAATTAGACATTACACAAATGTGCGTGTGAAGAAAGTATCTAGAACTCCCTATAGTTATAATTGTTTCTAAAAATATGCAACGAATTTGGTAGGAGCTCTTTCTGAAACTATTATGATTACAATCCAGCTCTATATTTAAGCCTTCCAGTCATTGTTTTGAGTGTAGATATCTCCATTCATATTTAAATCATATTAATCATATTTAATGGGCAACTTATAATACAAGTATTACTCAGTTTTTTGACTTGCTTCATTTCCTAGAGAATGTCTCTACTGAGAAGTACAGTTACCAGTAAACAAAATGAGTCGATATCGTTCCAGTTCTATTCAAGAGGATAGCTCTTTGAAGCCAGCATTAACCTTTAATATAGTGGTGTTGGGTGCGACCGGCGTAGTAAAGTCAGCATTGATATCACAATATTGTATTGGCATATTTCCCGATTACGCAGAGAGTACTATGGGTGTGTCATTCCAGTCGAAAACATTAAACTTGGATGATGCTGTAGTTAAAATTCGAATATGGGATACAGCTGGACAGGAGCGGTAAGATAATAAAATTATGTTAAATAAAGGATTCTTCATAAATATCTAACTACATAGATATCAGTACCTGCTGGATATGTATTATCGAAAAGCTCAATCTGTGCAATGGCTTGGGTAGAGAAACTCAAATTAGAGGTAATTCAGATAATTGTTTACAGAATTTTTTAAAAATAATTTCCTAAAGAATTTTAGAAGGACAATTTACAAAGCTTAGTGGTAGCTACTAAAAAGAATTTATCCAAGTGTATACATAGATCTATAATACATTACTGAATAATAGACTAGAAACTGGACTAGCTTCTGGTAAAGGGACTTTAAAGTGCGAGTGGGAACAAAATATGAAAGCGTTATTAAAAGAGTTATTTCAGTAATTTCGTTTATACTTGTATAGTTTTGAAATTTCTGATAGTATTTGTAGAATTTAATTATGATAATTTTATGAAATAAAAATAAGTCAGTCAATAGTATTTCTTTTTTATAGTTTATGTTAAACTATACTCGCAATGCTCACAGCTATAGCAATATACTTTAACGCGATTTTTAACTCTGCGCTATTTTAGAATCATTCCAATCCTTGAATTAAACAATATTCCTTCAATTAGCCATTATCTTTCTGTTTCCAATCGCGTGCATTTGATTCAAAAGTGCTATTTGTATTTCTGCCATAATCACTGAAAATACATATTTATTTAATTTAATTACCAACCATACATCTGCAAATACAAATTCTTTTTAATGTGACTTGATTAAGATGGTTCCTTGACCTTGATCCTGTGACAAGCTTAGTTGCTCCATTGTGGTTCCACGACTCCATCATTTTTGGATCTGCTGTGCTGATTTCGATATCAAAGAACTTTTCATAGTCTGCTTCAATATTTAAAAACAATTGAATTCCAATTTCCAATAATTAAAGCAAATGAGAGTTACCAGGCCTACTTGTATATATATTCTGTATCTTTTTATTTAAAAAATGTATTAATAAAATCGAAATACAAACATGTCAGAAATGTTAATACTTTTTAGTTAATATAAAGCAAAAGTTAAAGACGTTGCCTATTTATTTCGAAGATATTGACTTCACAGATGCCGCAATAATTATATTTACTTTATACTTTCCGTAAAAGATGCCAGAAATGGTAATTCGACTTGTTGGAAATAATGCCGACATACCAGGAAATTGCTTTATAACTTACCATGAAGCCAAGCAATATGCCGATGAGAAGGGGATTGTTTTTATGGAAACATCTGCCAAAACGTGCCAGAATGTTCATAAGGTTTTCGATTCTATTGGTAAGTGAAGAGATAGTTACAAACTACTAAAGATCTATATAAAATTCAGTCTCTTTCTGAACACAGTCCAAGAGTTATTGAACCCTGAAGCAAATTAAGAGCACGAAGACTGATTTCAAAGTCTTCAAAGATGATTGAATAAGAATAATAGCGCAAGGAATAATGTTTCAGGCCATGTGTTGTTTATTTAACTTTTTCTAGTTTTTTATTGAAATAATACCTGGTTAATCATTAAATAAATTCTTAACTCTTACTGGATTACATTTGTATTTTGGTAATAATAAAATGTTTGTCATTTTTCCAATGTTTGCGTACACTTGATGGTTTTGTTTTTATTTTATTACTTTTTTATTGTATCATAAAGTACACTATATATATATATATATTTATTATAGATACATATATTTTTTCTTTGCTACGGTTGTATATAAGAATAATTGTTGTTGAATTACAATATTATTTTCATATTATGTTTTGAAGTTAAGCTGGCATGTGCAGATAATTTGGTTGGAAAAGGCGAAGTAATTTTTGTGAAAAGATAAGAAAATGTTTTAGAATTTCGAATTGTTTCATTTTAGCTCGTTAACTAACTTTCTACAAGGCAACTAAATGGCTTTAATCAGAAGAGCGGATTAGACTAAAAGCTATAGAGATACGAAAAAAGTGTCTATAACTAAATTTGAGTATCGAGTTGAACAAATCAAAATGGCAGAAATCGTTGCAGGGCAGTTTTGAAGATAGTTCAGAACACATAAATGGATTTTAAGATAAATAGATACATATATATCTGAGTATATGTAGGCTTATAGCATAATATACTTAATAGTTTCAACAAAATGGACAACAATGGAATGGACAGAAGACTTTTGCTTTCGATAAACTTGAAACATTTAAATCTGGAAAAGTAACATAACCTTATTATTAATTCTTCTCTTTATTGGCTAAGGAAGGTTTTCTGTTCCATTTCCACTTGTAGACTCCAAATGAAGCGTTCTATTCCGTTTCAGATGGAACTTCGTTCATGTTTCGGTCAATCTGAAGCAAAAGTAGTGTATCTATTCAAAAGACTTATGTTTTAAAACAATTACATAACAAAAGCATTAAGTAACGTGAAAATAAATATAATATATTCAGAAATAAAGAATTACTCTTGTCATGGCACGCATAGCTAGATTTGTTATGCATTTTAGTTGTAATCATAGTATATCATATCCTTTGGGATCATTCGCTTAATCATTCTTCGTCTTTTGTTTTAAATATCACTTACGTAAGAGAAATATTTGCTAAATTTAGTACCTATACTAATATTTTGTTCAAAAGTTTAGTATTTCTTGCCACTTTTCTTCCACTTGCCCCTTTCAAACTTGTAATCTAAACTTTGTTTTCTTTTTTTGGTTTCAGTTTTGTTATTTTTATAAAATTTACAAAATTACGTTCCTTTTGTTTCATGGCCTTGTCTCAAACTGTATGAATTTTGGGTTTTTATATAAACTTGCTTAACATTTAACTTAGACTAGGTATGCCGCTTTTATTTTCAATTTGCTCAGTTTTATTTTACGTTTTATTTTTTTAATTTGTAGTATTTAGATTAACTCAAAGACTCCATTCACAATATGCAATTCAATTCACATGTTTCTCTGCAATATTCTATAATAGGTTACATTTTTATTTATTTGTTTTAGATTCTTCAACATCGATCGATTTATACAACAATTGGCTCATCTCCGTGCAGATCACACGAGCCTATATTTTCGCCCTGATACGGAGAGAAATCGCTTATAATGGCCTTGGGCTCCGCGCCAAACTGTATGTCCTGCAGACAACCCTTGAACGGCTCATAGAAGCGGCCCTGCGTGCGTCTGCTAACCGAATCCAGATTGGGAAAGCCGCCTGTATTTAGAAAAGAAATATTCCTATTAGCAGAGTTTCAATATTTTTGTAACGTTAGTTTAGCGGATGCACACACCATGCCGGCAACTGGCACTGCCAACTCGGGCGCTTGGCTGTGCAACAGGTGTGCAGAAACAGCTGTTCTAGCTTTTGTGGGCAACGAAAGGAAAAAAAAAACAACAATCGCGGCGGCCAACAGTGTTTGTTCGTCTGGCGAGTTTGAAACAAGTTTTAACTTGGGTTTTTGTGTGTCTGTGTTGCCAAATTAATAAAAATTTGGCAAGTCGTGTGTGTAAGCTCATGTGTGTGTTGTTTGTTGCAGCACGAAAAGGGCAAGCAAACAAAGCCAGCAAGTAGCAACAACAAAAGTGCAAAGGTGTTGGTGAAATATTTTAGTCGCAATTAAGTCTCGTTTTGTTGAATTAAAATTAAAATTGCGTTCAATTTGTGACACAACCGGCATCGAGTGCAAAAATTAAGCCCAGCAAGATGCAAAAAGTGGCTCCAAGCAGGCACACACACATGCATAATTAAAAGTTGGTGCAACAAGCAGCAATATTTCTCGGTAAGTGAACGCTATACATAACCTATATAATACAAGTATGTAAATGTAAATGTTTTTAACCGCTGGTCTTAACTTACCTAAATAGAATATATCCTCATAGCTAATTGTTGGTTCTTTGCTCGCACGCCTTGATGCCGCTAATGATGATGTGCTTGTTGTTGTTATTGTTGTTGCACCCTCCGGCAACTTCTCCGTGAATATAACCTCGCCATCCAGCTGCAGTTCCAAGCGCGTGCGATCGAGCAATACCTTGGTCCAATGCCAGGCCCCATCCGCAATGAAACCACTGGCCGGGGCTTGGACCGTATCGTTAATACTGCCCAACAGATTGCTGGCCAGCTTCAGATGGCCATTCTCCAGGCCGAGCCCCAAGAATTTCACACGATCGTGCTCGCTCCAAAGCAGCAGTCCGTCCGGCTCAATTGTCGAGAAATTCAATGAGATTTGAATGGCTTCGCGTGGTCGCATATAAAGCGATGGGCCACGTCTCTTGTCTTTCATTGGTATGCGCGGTGGTGGCAAGATCAAATAACTATTGCCACGGAAGCTGGGCGTTGTGGGCTTGCTCAGCGCTATAGTTTTGAAAGAGAGTGGAGCAAAGTGTTGCGTGCATTAAACATATTGTACTCGTATGTAAGACATGTGTAATTATTATATTACGGCATCGTTTGCATGCATTGTTCATAATTGTAATCATCGATGTGTCTGCACCACCATTATCATCATCATCGTGATCATCATCTTCGCAATTATGATCGTGATGATCGCGTTAGGTGCGAGCGCACTCTCATTAAAGCCATTTGTTTCATGTCTGACTACCAACTACCAAACGATTTCAGCCATGAGCTCGTTTGTCTCTCAGTTCGCCTAATCTGTCTTCTTTATCTTGCTTCTGGCTCTATGCCGGTGTTTGTGTTTTTTTATACCCTGTACCCGTAGGGTAAAAAGGGTATATTAGGTTTGTGCAAAGTATGTAACATACAGAAGGAAGCATCTCCGCCCCCATAAAGTATATATATTCTGAATCAGCATGACGAGAGAAATCGATCTAGACATGTCCGTCCGTCTGTCCGTCCGTCTGTCCGTCTGTCCGTCTGGATGAACGCGAGGATCTCAGAAACTGTAAAAGCTAGAATAACCAAAGTTGGCATCCAGATTCTCCTAGGTCCGAGTAAGGACGAGTTTATTTTTTTTTTTTTAATTTTCCCCCCCTTCCCCCGCTACAGAATTTCGTCAATAGCGTCCACATTTCAAATGCTACCTCAACCAAACTTTGCACACATAATTTATATATAATTGTCTATTGTTGTTTAAAATTTAATCGAATTCGGTCAGTTCTGTGAAAAGTTATTAGCGAAACAAATTCTCTACAGTACAACCCCCACAAACTGCAGCAACGAGTTCGCTCTTCTTCTTCCTCTTTTTGCTGCTGCTATGGGCGCATATAACTCAGTGACGGAAGTTTACCTGGGTACAGGGTATTACACTGTCGGGCTTGCTCGACTGTAGCGTTCTCTCTTGTTTTTTCCTGGGTTTTCAGTTTCTTTCTGTTCGGCTCACTTCAGCTTAATTGTTTTAACTCCTATATGCCACAATTTTTCTTGTTTGTTTTCTCTAACTTGTTCTCTGTTTATGATTTTCATGTTAATTTTCTTCGCTAACAGGTAACTGGAGATTTCTGTCTGTCTGTCCAATGACAGGCTAAATTTTCAAATTCTTTGAAGAATAATCAATAAATCAAGCGTATTATGTTTGAGCAAACTTTTTAAATATAATGTAGATCGCGATCTTTATAAGTATACTTTATAAATATAATGTTCTTTTCTACGTAGCTTGTAAACCATTTTCGTGAAGACTGAAAAGCTAAATTAACTTCCATAGAAATAATGGGTATAAAAAAGTTTATTCTAGTCGTATTGACCTTAAGTCGTTTATATTTGAATATTTTTTATATAGTACTATACTATAGTATAATAATATAATAATATTAACAGAATGAAAGAAATGTGAGCTCTTAAGGTAACATTTAACGTTTAACATTTCAGAACGAGGGTATCTGAAGGACTTAAAAAATCAGAGGCCACAAAATTGGCGGAATAGATATCTAAACATATGAATATCTAGGCATATGAATTTATTCATTGATAGGGTTAATGCAATTTTAAAATTCTTCAAGAAATGTCAAAACAATTGGGTTTCTTAAAAGGTTATACCGTAAAGGTATTTATCAATAAATTTAAAATATGACCCTAAAAACGTTTTTGATTAATTTATGTAATGTTGAACTGTTAGATACAGAATATAATTAGACATATACAGAATATACATACATATATTGAACTTTATCGGTTTCATCTTTTAAGAAAGTATGAAAGTAGAAACAATGCTTTTAATATAGTAGTTTGACTGACAATTTAGTAAATAATTTGAGCTTCAAACGTATTGAAAGCATAATATTATAACGTTTAAAATTGTTCAGACTTAGGAATTAAACTAGTTATATAAACTGCATAAAACTACGGTTTGTTAAACTAATATGAACTATTTTTTACTTATTTATAATGCATTTGTATGTAATATGTTCGTACTGGATATTTCTGGAAAGAACTGTTTTGCACATTTCTAGATTAGCTTTTCACACCTTCTGATTCAGTAGTTTTCAAATATAAAATTGCCGAAAAATTAGTTTCCCTACTTTCTAGTGACTTCCACAACTCATATAGACCAATGCTCAAAAAAATCGCAATAAAACAACAATTTTCTGATGAGTTTGTTAATTTTTTTTTTTTGCCAATTCAACTTCCTGACCCCGCTGTGCACTGAACCATACGCTTGATGTTGTTAATGGTTTGCTTTTAGCTTTTGTGTATGTATGTGCATGTATTTCTCTAATTATAATAATAATTATGTGCTCTCTGTATATTTTGTTGCTCTGCCAGATGTATGGCGTTGTTTGCCTGTGAAATTGAAAACTTGTTTGCGGGTCACAAAAAATATGAAACGAAAAAAAACTATAAAAAGCAATTTCTACCTAAAACACAATCTCATATCGGATTTTGTACGTATGTTTTTGTGAATCTAGTAGCTTCTGTATAAAAATAACTTTTACTCAAGTTCGTTTTTTTTTTTTTTTTTGACACAATTAACTTTGGGTTTTAAGCTGGGGGGAAGCATGTGGCTTCTAAAACTTGTTTTAAAGGTATTCAAGTGAAATGTTCTGTTTTTTATGATCTGTTGTTGTTGTTGTTATTATTATTATTGTTTGTGTTACGCTTATTGAACCGTAACTAAAGTGATTTGCGGCTTGACTAATTCACTGACGAATTGCTCAAAATTGTGGCCTGCCATTAGTTGAGTCAGCAAGTGTCTGTCAGTTGGAGTCACGGAACGAAAGCAGCAGTCAAAACACTCATAACTCATAATTAAGAGCTCTTGCTCTATACATTCAATTAACGTATCAAGCGCGACTCCAGCATATCTGGAAATCGCCATTGAAAGCCGCTCTGGGTCAGCGACCCATCCCAAAAATATTTACTCACCAATTTCACAGTAGAAGCCACCCCAGCCATTGGGACAAGAGCAGCGTCCACTGCGCAGACAGCGTCCATTATTTTTGCACGGTATTAGCTTGCAAGTCTCCGAATATTCGCAGCGATCGCCTTTGGCATACTCCGGACAGATGCAGTGTGGCTGCAGCTTCTCATCCAGCCAGCAATGGCCGCCCGATTCACAGGAGTCGCCTCCACAGGCTGTACCATCACAGTCGCGTATGTTACGAGACTCTGAGGGGGTAATAAAAAGGGAGAGCATTACATTTTAAATACAAAGTCAAAGAGAAGATGACTATATATCAGTGACTAATTTTTTGTATACCCCACACAATAGGTTTGGTAGTTTTGGAAGGTTTATAACTTTTTGTAGATTGCTGCAATTAGAAAGGCACTGCTAGATACATATTAGAGGTGGAATATTGCAAACAATATTGCTTCTATGCATGTAGTTTATGGAAATCGATGAAGGCTAACAACCAGTAATGGAAATATTTATGTGTAATGCTTTGAGAATTAGAACTAATTCTTGAACTAAGCAAACCAGAGTGGCATTTGAAAGAGAACAGATTCCACCTCGTTTAAATAGATTCACCAAATGATATTGTGTTTACTACACAAGCTAGCGAATATCAATCCCTTCTAGGTTTATGGAGAGGTGAAGGACTTGTAGACTTGGAAGTACTCCAGATTACTTACCCACGATGTTAGTTTCGTTGAGTACAATGCGCGTGCCGCTAACCACTAGGCCGCGCACACAACCGCGGAATGGTATGGGAAAACCAGAGATGGCATTGTGCGGCAGCTTGGACAGATCCTTGAGGCCGCCAATGTAGAGCAACGAATCCGGCTCGACAAGCACCTCAGCGGATGGTGCCAAAGCCGAAGAGGCGCTGCCCTCCACCCACAGCGTCAACCAGCGACCACGCTGTGCCATCTTGATCTTGTGCCACTCCCCGATGGCGAGCATGCGGACACTTCTCACCACCGTCACATGATTACTCGGCCCAGAGATGCGGAACTCCACGACACCGCCCTGCAGCGACAAGGACACAAAACCAATCTTCTTGTCCTGATTGTTGTTCAGTGTGCCAAAGTAGAGCAACAGGCCGCGCTCTGAGAGCGGACGTAGCTGAAACTCAATAAAGAAGAATTGCACACGATGATGCTCCTCGAAGGACTTGGAGCCCATGAGAGGCACGGGCGAGAAGCTACGCTGTTTCTCCACCTCGTTGAGCAGCTTCATCACGAAGTGTGTGCTTGGCGTGGAAATGGGCTTCGGTGGCATTAGTTTCTTGGTGAAGTTGCGATAGCTGACCATTTGAGAGCGCTTGGCTCCCAGCTTGTCCGAGGCATCGTACAGATAAGGCCAGCGTACGGCCAGATACGAACGTCGACCCGTCAGTGAGACATCACTGAGTGAGCGTATTTCTACATAAATAAATTATTAAGAGGTGGATTCATGGAAGATTAATAAAAGCACTGCAGACTTACCTTCCTCACAATTCTTGCCAGTACGTCCCACAGGACAGTCACATTCGTAGCCATTAACCAAGGGCACGCAAGTCGAGTCCTCGGAGCATTTGTTGTTGAATGAGTCGCAGGGATTTGTTGGCTGTGCACACAATGGTCCGTACCAGCCCTCTTGGCAAATGCAACTGTTGTTCCGGGGATTATTTAGATGGATTAGCACAACAGAGAGTATCTCTACTCCACTCTACTCTACTTACGTAAAGGTGGCGCCATGTTGCAGACAGGCACCTTCATGTTGGCAGGCATGTCGGTGACACTCACGTGTTCCACACTGACCAACACCACGACCTCGAACGCCGCGCGTCTCCTGCAGCGGCACCGTTACCTGGCCCGCCTTCAGGTGTACATCGTAGATGCAACCCTGGAAGCCCGAATGTAACGGCAAGTCGTGCGGAAGAGTGTTGAAGTTGGCAATCTCATGGCCACCCAGATAGAGAATGGGCAGCACATCCATGCGACTGACGCTGCCCGGCGAGCGACCCGTTATATTGAATTTACCATCCACAGAGAGCCATGCCTGACGTCCGATGCGACCCACTTTGATCTCGTAGGGTACACGAGGTGCATCCAATCGGAAATCGATGGGTTTCTGTGTGAAAATTCGTCGAGGTCCAGCGCCCAAGTTCCACGTCAGCATGATGTAGCCCTGTATGAAGCTAACCGCCAAATGATCGCTCTTCTCATCATGGAAACCAGACTGACCGAGGAAGGCAAGCAGCGAAATCTGCGACATAGTCTGTGGCAGTATCTTAAAGCTTAGCTCCAACGAGTACTCCAAGGGAATGGGCACCGTATAGGACACAAACGAGGACAGGCCATTCACGCTGCCCGAGAAGGAGGGCAAGGCAACCTCGAGATCTATTAGAATGGAAATGTTAGTTGCAGTTCGATTGATTCACTGACGAAATTAATATTGGAAAAAAGTCACAATAGTTCAAGAGTGTTTTTTAATTAGTCGGTTTGTCTTTTAGTCCAGCTCTTTGCATATTTGTTTGCCCTTCTGTTTCATTGGCAAGTTTTTCAGATCCACTTTTTATGGATACCGCCTAATAGAAGATGGCTTAATCTGTGTTCAAATCTTTAATACAAGAGAAAACTGCTGCTGCTGCTTTTTTGCTATGTTTTATAGTTTGTTTGTAGACATGTCCTTAATGGTAAGAGCCCCGCTCTGCTAATAGTTGGACCCTAAAAATTTGGCATGGCCAAATCTGCTTTCACAAAGCAAAAACACTTTTTAACGTTTGGTCATCAATACTCAGTATTTTTGCCCCACAATGTGTCCAAAATTTGCACTTAAATCTATTTAAATTTTATGTAATTAAACTTTGGGTAAATGTGATAATATCTTTGTATTTGGCAACAACTAACATCTACAAAAGTTGTTACAAATGTTGGCCACAATTTGTTCACTCTTGCAAATCCAAATTTTAACTTTAAATATCAAAATTTAATCCCCGCTCAGTAGTCTATAAACGATAAACAGACAGACAAACTACACAACAAACCAATGAAACAAATAGACAAACAAAAAAACCAGACCAACAAACAGACAGACAAAGAGATAAATAAACCGACAAACACAGAGATAAGCAAACAAATAAACAACCGCATAAATAGACTTCAATTTATATGTGAAAGAGATACACTTCGCTTCTATGGAATAAATAACATAAGAAACCAAATACATGTATCCCTTTTCAGCCTACGCAATTTTAACATGAAGTGTTTTCTCTTATTACACGTGGCATATATCTTTTTTATCTTATTAAAAAGTCTTTAGTTTAATTAATTAATTTGAAAAAAATATTTATGCGACTTTTCTAAGTTTATCAAATTTGATTTAAAATAATATTGCCCTTATTGTAACACAGTTTATTCTTTTTAATGAATATTTAGACATTTATAAATCTATATTCATGACTACTATAATTTCTCAATATACGATTTAGGGAGCAGTTGAAACTATAATTTAAAACAAGATCTAGTTAATTTGTAGTCTTCTCCATCTTTAAACCTATGTATTTATGTTCATTTTTAAGTTCAGTTCATTATTATAATAAAAAATATTCTTTATTATGAATAAGTCTATAATAATTTATAAAATCATATTTATGATTACTGTAATTTCTCGATCTACGATTTAGAGAACATTTGAAACTACAAGTATATTAAAAACATTTATATATATCAAGATCTAGTTAATTTGTAGTCTGCTTTATGTTTAAATCTATTTCTGTTTGGTGAGGTAGTTAAAAGGTGAGGTATGCCTAAAAGAGTGTTGTTTTTCGATGCAATAAATTCTGAATAACTTTTAAATAAAGATATCAACACACTTTTCCATAGGTACGAATTATGTACGAAAAATATTTAAATCCTCATTTAATTTGGTTCCAAAAAATACATCTAATAAGGTAGCCGTGCATTATTTCAAACTTTCAATTTTCTATATTTTTCCATTCAGGGTTTTTTTAATTTTATTTATTTGGATTTATTAGTTCGATTATAAATATTTGGTTTCATTTGCATTTTCATTTTTATACTGCAATTTTAGACCGCCTCCTATCGCGTACTTTTCAATATTTTTCCATGCGGATGTGAATTAATTTGAAAATTCCATTACGAATATTTTGTTTTATTTGCATTTTCATTCTTTTACTGAAATTTTTGAGCACCCTGCTATCGCGGGAGGTGTAGTGTTTTTTTTTTTTTTTCAAATAAACAATAAACCTTTTGTACTTACTGTGCTCACAGTAGTGGCCATGCTTGCCCAATGGACAAAGGCAGAGATATCCGCTGCCGGGGAACTGTACACAAGTGCCGCCATACTGGCAGGGATTGTCCTCGCACACAGATATCTCGCAGGTGGGTCCCATGTAGCCTGTCGGGCATTTGCATTTCCATTTCTCCGCCTTCTCCCCGTTCTCGTCCACCTCGTTCGTTTCGATTTTGATGCAAGCTGCGCCATTGCGACACGGACTGGACAGGCAGGCCAGCGAACCGCATTCTGTAATGCCAAAGCCGTCCAGTGCATCCCTGAGAGAGTGTAAAAAAGACAGAGAGAGAGAGAGAGTGAGGGTGAGTGAGAGATGAGAGATGAAGGGCCACACATGTGCAATGTGTTGTCATTTTAGTGACCGCTTGGTGTGTTGCTGATGACCGCGCCAATTTATTCAGTCAACTGCAGTTCAGTCGCCGAAACTGTTTGCTGCTAATTCGTATGTCAATATTATGGGCGCCGCGCATAAATAGCTTGTATATGAAACCCTGGCCTCCTGGCCTCCCTCCCTGGCCCGGTCCCACTTGGCACGTCGACATTTGTCAAACAGCCCACAGCTGTCAGCGCGCCATTTTCTTCCTTACATCCGTCCTCCGTACGTTTGGACGTCGGTTCGCTTGTACGTCTGTTCCTGTTCGCCCATCTGTTTGGCTGCTCTCGCTTTTATGTGTTGACGAATGGCTTCCGCATTCCCCAGCTGCTGTCCCCCACTCCACTTCACTCCTCTCCACTCCCACTCACCGAGTCGTGCCCGTTGCGCTAAAAGCGCCCGCCCTTTTCATTAAGCTTGCTGCATTTTGCGGAACTCTGTCAGTGGCTCCCTGGACGCTCGTTTTTAGTGCAAACTTGGTCAAATTTTTAAAACACATAATGTCCTTTTAACGTTGCCCATTTTGTCAGTTGCAGGGCTTTTAATAAAATTTTATTGTTATTGCGGCACCCAAAGATGTGGACGCCAACACCAGCAAGTGGTTTTTAGACATGTGATGGGCCAGTGGTTTTAGATCTACTGTCACATAATCTTAGATAAAAGTGTTATGCGACTTCTATTAGAGTGCTGCTAAAGTATAAAATTAACATTTAAAAATTAAATAAAAACTAAAAGTGCTGTTATTCCTTAAATAATGTAATCTTTTGAGCAGCAGCTAAGATTTTCCAACAAAATTTGGGACTCCAATTAGAACTATAAATATAAGCGTTTAAGATTTGACTTGAAACAAACTTCACTTCTTTTTATACACAGTTCTGGAATTAGGAATGGCTCCACTAAAAGCATAATAATTGGGTCCAAAGTAGAGCCTTACAGCTATTTTTGTTGTTAGTTTGCCGTTCTCGATAGCATAGGAAATTATTTGTGACTAGCACAGCAATGCCTTTTCAAAGATTAAAGTAAATGCTTTGGACTTGTGTTGAATTTAGATGTTTATATGTGATTTCGAATATTACTGAACATTACAATATATGCGATAAGATTTGGCTGGATAAAAACTTAATTTCTTCTTATATTCAGTTCTTGAATTGCAAATAGCTGCACGAAAATCGTAAAAATTGGTTTCGAAGTAGAGCCTTACCGCTATTTTTATTGTTAGTTTGCCATTCTCGATAGTATAGGTTATTATTTTTTTTACCACCACAGCAATGCCTTTTCAAAGATTAAAAGCTTTGGACTTTTGTTGAATTTAGTTGTTTATATGTGATATCTAATATTACTGAACATTACATATGAAACCCAAAGTTTAAGACTTTAGTGCATTTCGAATGCGATTTCTTTGTTCTTCAGCCACTTCCAATGATTCCGCTGTATCTTCAAATCATCTCAAATAAACTAATTTAAAGACATGTATGTTTATGTTACTAAATTAAATTGACCTTTTGACATGTAATTCAATTAATTCCCTCAAAATATTAAAACATGCCACTATTAACAGCTCTAGTCTTACGTTATAAGTAGTTTCCTCATTTTATCAGTACTAGCTTGGTAATAAATCAACCTAAATTTTTTCATTGCTGAGCTTGACTTAATGATGGTGATTTTTTAACCTGGGTTTGAAAACGTTTAGAGGAAATAATTTTCTTAATTATTGGAGCTTTTACTCAAAAGAAAAATCGTTTCGGGAAACCATTTAGATTGCTAGTACCGACATTCTAATGGAATTACTGGCTGTACGCAATTTCAGACTGCGCTAATAGTTTGAGACAGAAAAGTACTTATATACATGTTTTTTTTTAAATTAATTTTTTTTTATCTTTTAAAATTTAATATTTACAAGTCCAATAAACCTTAAATGCAAGTTTGTTGTCCTTTTCCAACCTTCTTAGTTTCACAAATAAATTAAAGGAAAACTTTTGTTTGCTGATTAGTCGTTAATATATAAATCTATATTTCCTCTCAATAGTACCGATAACTGTTTTAAAAGCAATACAAAATCTATCCTAAAACGTCTTGGCAGCAAATATTTTTAAATAGTTTTATCAAATGCTCTGATAACGTTATTTCTGTTGTTGTAAACGAATATATTCATAACTGAATTAAGTGTAGAACAATCCGACAATATTGTTCTATACGCGTATATAAAATTTTATCTGATTTGCACACAAAGTTTCTTGAGTCTGCGTGGGTGAGAGTTTATCAAAAGTTTGTAGAAAACTTTAATATCTTTTGTATTTTTTTTGCTGAGCCTCGGCGGTCGCGTTGTTTCCAACAACTTTTTGTCTCTACCTGCGACTTTGTTTTGTCATTATTCGAGAATTTTTTCATCTACTTCAAGCTAGACGCTCATACGCTGTAGAAACACTGAAGAGGTTTCTTAAGAAGCGTTGCTTCAGGTGCCCCCAGCCCCTCCCCCTTCTACCGCACAACTTTGGTGCTCAGGGCTCTTCATTAGTCCATAATGCTCGACAGCAAACTTGTGATGAAGTAGACCACAGCGCCCAAAGTGTACGCAAAGGCTAGTACGACTAACTATCAAAGCATTGCCACAGCGATGAATAAAAAATGAAAGCAACCAACAAAATTGGAATAAAAAAAAAAGAGCGAGACACTCACCCGAATATTTCGCGCGCCTGTCCATTAATGCGCAGCGAATGCAGACAGCCCGTGAATCCTGTGCCACTCTGTGCGGGCGGCAGCTCGATAATCAGGCCAATCGGTGCCTGGGGCGCTCCTCCCAAATGCAGCCATGTGTTCAGTATGACCTCCGGTGTGTGGAGGCGGGTCGGCAGTAGTTTCAGCCATGTGGGCTGATCTCCGGACATGGCCAATGTGTCGTTGACTAGCAGCGAGGCATTGCAGTGTGTGTAATTGCGGCTGAAGTCCAATCTGGGAAGTACAGGAAAAAAGATGTGCGAGAATTGAAGTGGTTTAAAGAGGTTGTTGTTCTTATTGTGTGTTGTTATCGTTATGGTAGTTGTTGTAATTGTAATTCTGTGTCACATAAAATATTTAATATGATGCACGCAGCGGCGACCTTACGTAAAACATTTCCTCAGCATTGCGATGGCTTTTAAAAATATTCGACATGCCGGCGTGCAAATATTTATGACACCCGCACAAAAGCACACAGGATGCGTGTCCGTGCTTGGGTTCGGCTCTGGCCGTGCCCGTGTCCGTGTCCTTTGCGAAAGTGAACAGATTCGCATTGAAAGTCTTTCTTTTCGATTTTGCCCCCCTGCTGCCCGCTGACCTTTTAGAGAAAATCTGCCGCCCATGCCCCAACAATTGGCTTTAATGTCAATCGACTGTCAAATTTTTCGGGCCTGACATTTTTTGTTGCCTGCTTTTCAGCGCGTGCCCGTAATTTCCACTCCCTGCAAGGCATTTCCATTGTCAGCATTGAATTTTATTGCTACGCAGGGTAAATGTCACCTGACTGCTTTTTGTTAAGACCCTTTTGTTCTCTTCTCTTTTTCCTCTGGCTTAGCCCAAACTGATTTGTTTTTGCTTGTCAGTTTTCGATATTCAAGATGTCTTTGTCGGAGTGGCTAAGTGGTCGGGGTCGGGCTAAGGGGAGGGATTTGCTTTCATATTCAACGCATTGATTACATTTAAATGTGCGTATATTTTAATACAGCTCCACATCGAACGGAAAGGGAAATGCAATAAATGCGGGCATTGAACACAAATGTTTTTATTGTTATTTTATAGATTTTGGCTAATGCGCCAAGTGGTCATCTTGTTGTGGCAGCCACCATGTGCTGCATGTTAACAGAGAGCCCTTGATACTTGGCATAAAAGGTTGAACGGGAAATGATAAAAGTTTTGGGCTTAGTTCAAGTTGTTAAATTGTGAGGTCTGCTTGTTTATCTCCAGCCTTTTATTACCCTGATTTTATGCTTCAGTGTTACTGATGTTTTCAGATTATGCATCAGCAATGTGCGGGCTACAATTTGAAAAAGAAAACGGACATTTTTTCAGGGGCACTTGATGCCCAAGTGTGCGAGAGGATTGTGCCATTATTGGTGCAACGAAGAACAAATGACATGAAAATGAATCAATATAAGTTTTTATCCCAATTCCAATAAACAAAATATTTCTAAACCAAATGTATACATATTCCAGGGTATACAAAAACTGGAATATAGTTTGATTTACTCAAAAAGATTGTTTTTTTTTTAAATAATGGAAGAAGAGTTGTTAGCATAACATTAAAATGTAGAAAGCAATAGATGCTATGTTAAGAAAAACTCGTGTAGCCTGGATAATAGAAGAGTCCACTTCACAAATTTGGACAGACGAACATGGCTATATCGATTAGTCTAGTCATGCTTTCTTTTCCCTATTACATACTTTTCACGCTTCAGGTACAGGGTAGTATAAAAAGTAATCAAATAATATAAAGTCTTGTGGTGTGAATAAAAACTAAAACCATTTTTTATCACGTTTTTTTAATTTTCAAGTTCGCCGCTCTATTGGCACTTTTTAGTGTCGGTTTTAACAAAAAATTCTTAATATTTGTATGAGCTTTGAATGCTAATGCGAGTTTACATAAGTTGCTTAGTCAGTTAACAGTTTCCCTCATCTTTGGGTTAAAATGTACAGAAAGAGTTTGAAGGTAGAAGCTTTTTGTTCTCATATTTTATATTTTATTAAACTGTATTCTTTCTGAAAAGTCTTCACTTCCAAGCGGGAGCATACGCCTATTACTAACAACTTGGCTTACAAATGCTTAAGCTAATTAAACAGGCAATTTCGTTTTTGGTTAACTCTTAGTTAAAAGTCATAAAAGAGCCGTTTCTATTAGTTACGATACGCTTAATTGATTATGCGGCCGCAAAGTTGGCTAAGCCTGGCCACCCGATCGTTCAGAAGAAGACAGAAGCCACTTTAATGACTTCGCGATTAAAGCATTCAATTTGATTTTCCATTACTCAAATTCAAAATAATTAAAAGCAAAAACCCCAATTTACGCGCTCAACGGACGCGCTGTGACGAGAATGAGAAGAAGGCAAACATTAAACAAAGGCGTTGTTGGCTGCTTCTTTGGTTCGAATGGCGAACGGCGAATGGGGAATAGCGCACAATTGGAGGACACAAGTCGAGAAAAAGCTTTGACCAAAAGCCGCAATTACGCGCGACTAACGGTAATTGTTATTGCTTTCTAATTACACTAATTGTCTGAAACACCATTCGACGCGGCTGGCCGAGTAGGCCAAGTGCAGGCTTCGACGTAAATCCTTAAGTAAAATGTCAATTGTGTTGGGCATTAGGCTCATTAGGGAGCCAAGTTGTTGGCAATCGGGTGTTAGCAAAACAAAAACCACGTTGTGGTCAAGCTGGCGTCATTTCCGCTTACCATGTGTGCGTGCTAAAGCCGCAGGACATTCATAATTGCTGCTGGAACTAGTTCGGCGACAAACTGACCCGCCAACCAACCGACCCATCGACTAACTGACACCCTCATTGTCAGGGCCAGGCCAACAGCAGCATTTGAGGCCCAATGACCCAAGGGCATTTGGTGCCTGGGCACGACCATTAAACACGAAACGCAAATAAAAATAGCAAAGGACCATAAATTTGTTGCTCGTAAATCCAGTTCCAGGCTGCCGCCGGCTTTAGGCTGTTCAGAGATGCCGGCCGCCTTTTGCCGGCCACTGGCCTACCAACTACGATGTGCTAAAAAGTAAATTTGTGGTCGATTCGATAGTCGTAAAAACGAGAAATTTTATTTCCACCGCCCTCTCACACACTCACACATCCAAACATTCTAAATTATTTATATAGGTAGCCTATATGCTATGTATGGAGTATTTGCTCAGCAGTCTGGCAACATTTTTCCCAGAGAATTTGTGTTCTAGTTCCTGATTTTTGTTCTTGTTTGTCCCATTTCGAATAAGTGTGTATGTGTGTGAGTGCTGGAAGGCGTCGCTTGCAGCCGGAACCCAAATAATATCGTTGATATATTTATTTCTTAATGCACCGCTTATGTGGAAGTCGTGTTCCGTCTCGCTTGTGGGAATTCCTTTGCTTATTTATTTTATGAAATGATTATTTGGTCATTTTCCATATGCGCTCTTCATCAAAATTCATGGCAAGTTTTAAGTAATTGCACTCGCATGAATTGTAAAGTGAGAATTTGTAAATAAATAAAATGGTTGCCACTTGTAGCTGAGACATGAATTGGGACTGTTGCGGCTAGCATAGCTTTCAACATAAACGTTAATGGATGCTCAAAAAAGTTATGTGGGCTTTTCTTTGTTAAAATATCGGAATTTCATTTTAAAATATTATGCATTGCAAATATTGGAATTATCTTATATAAGACACAAAATCCCCATACGTTATTCATTAAAAGTAATTCGGATGCAAAATATTGATAGGAAAACGTTATTACTGAGTTGTCTGTTTGATTGTATGAATGCTTATATTTTGGAAAGTATTGATGCTAGAGCCTTCCCAAACGTGGTATTTAGAAATAGAAATATAATATGCATATTGTAGCTTATTGGATTTTAATGTTTAACGATAAATTCCTTAAAAATAATTCGGATGCAAAATATTGATAGGAAACGTTATTACTGAGTTGTCTGTTTGACTGTATGAACGCTTCTATTTTGGAAAGTATTGATGCAAGTGCCACTAAACGTGGTAAATAGATATAGAAATATAATGTACATGTTGCATTTTATTAGATTTTAATATTTAACGATAAATTGCCCAAAAAAAAAACTGATTAGATAGTTAACTGATTTAAGATGGGAACTGTTATAATATCGAGTTACAAAGATGCAGGACCTGGTTTTAATCAAGTATTGCAAATTTACGTAAGCAAGTGTTTTGTTAGTATTTTTGACATTTTGAAGAACAAATTTAAACAAACGGAAACGAATTAGTAAATAATAAACCAGAATTAAATTATTTCAGAAAAAACGCTACTGTCACTGACTTTTAACTAACTAGTCCACGTAGCTAAAGGCAAAACACGGATGGATGATAACATCTATTTGGTGTGGATAATACCTTATCTGTAAATGTGCTTGTGCAAAATTTAATAAATTATGATATGTTTGAATATATCATGAATTAACACCCAGTCTAAATAAGTGTACCCGTGGGAAATTATTAGCAATAGCTTTCAAAGTGCTGTAAAGTGACTATTAATGTTATATGTTGGATTAGAGATGGTAAAAATGTGGTTACATATCTCTTAAAGATGTAAATAAGGATGTACTGATATAAGCTTAGTGTGCTTTGTATATTTCAGTAGAAGTTCTTCGGTCAAATAACTTAAAGCACTCTATTGATACTTTCATACCTATACACATATTAACATAATCAAATATTAGATCAACACCAAAATTAATAATTCTATTGTCAGATGGAGGACTCGTCATCTTCTTTCAACAGACAAATATCAAAGGGCGTTGATTTTTTTGAGAGAATTTCGGCAAATCACACAGTAGACCCGGCTAAGGTTATCCGATAATTGTTAAGACTATTTATCGGAAAGTGGGAGGCACTGAAGCCGTTGGCTATTTGTGGTAAAAAAGGCAACGTCTGTGAATTATTTATTTGGACTCGAAGCTGAAAACTATATTTTAAACATATCGCTATATAATGATGTATTCACTATCTCTGCAAACTATTTCACCAATGCTATTAATCATAAAAGTATGGAAAATATTTGCAAAAGTTCTTATCATTTAGGTACAGAAAGTATTCGTAAAAGCACAATTGTTTAAGATTATAATTGCAATAGCGATGTATTAATGGTTAAAACTACTTATGAAGGATCTAACGATTTTATATGTTTTAGTTATTATCGCATTTGGCAAGCTCTGCCCAAACACGGTTTCCAAGTCGAACAACTTTTAAACAGTTCTCCATCTTGACTGATTCCCATTGTGTTGCCGAAGTTGTTTTTGCTGTGGCCCAAGCGATAAAATTTAATTGTTAGCTAAACGATTAATTACGAATGAGCTCTGCGAACAGCATTTTCATTGTGGCCTGTAATAAAACAAAAACTGGATACTAAGAGCTTCTGTGCCAGCTGCGTCCATAGTTGCTTGGCATGGCGTTCGCTGCACGCTTCCGGTTTCAGGGTACGGCGAATGCGGCAAATTAAATTTCAACCAAAAACCAACTACAGCAACTAATTACGCATGAAAGCCAAGGCGAGCAAGAATGCCGGGCACGTTGCTGGCGATGCCATTGGCGCAGGAAATGGAAGCAGCGCAGGATGTGCGATGCGCGACAAGGAAATGTGGAAAAAGAGAACGCAACACAATTTATTCTACACTTGAAGCATTATAATTTGCGGCATGCAAACGGCAGGCAACTTTTAGTGGTTGCTGGTCGCATTCGCCGCCGCATTAACCTAGTGACCAATATGCCTGGAATGGTAAACCACTGTATGCCAGGCACAGTTTGAAAAGTTAATTAGTCCATTAAATGCTGGACGATGGCACGACCCATGGCCAAGCTATCATGAGCTCACATTATTGCCCCGCCCTTTGCCATTTTCAGGTTCCTGTGTCCAAATGGGTGTGCGAGTATTAGTTTTCTCACAATGTACACACAGATATGAGCTTAAATAGTCAGTTTGTTTCTCTGTCTCTGTCTCTGTATGAATGTCTTGAATTCGTAAACTCCAGATGTTCCAAACATCAAATTTTATGTAAGGAATTATTATATTACTTGATAGCTCAAGTTTATTGAAACATTGCGTTAATTAAAGATAAGAAAAATGAATTGCTAGAAGGCTAGATGATAGATGAATTCTCCTTATAACCTGTCCAAGTTTTTTGGTTTATTTATATTTATACTCCAGAGCTGACTTACATATTCCATAACTGCTATAGGAGCAAGCAATTCAATAATACTTAAAAAAACTGCATTGCTTTCAAAGAAAGACTTTTACGCAATTATTTGATAAGAGAAAATATTGACATGTTTTTTGGTTCAAAATCTGTCACACAGAAATGGAATATATTGCTTATTTTTAGATATTTTGATATTATTTGATTTGCACTTACTCAGCACGAATTGTGATTTCGTGGCCCGTATTGACGGGCGTTTCCAATTCACTCAGTAACATGGTTTGCAAACCGCACGAAAACTGGAACTGCATGAGTCCTTTCTGCAGGAACAACGCCATGTAGTGACCACCCTTGGTTCCCTGGGCGGCAGCTAACATAATTAAGCCATTGGTGGCACGTGTTCGAACCTTCAGCTGTATGTGCATGGGCAGCACTGCGTCCAATGCCTCATGCTGCGGTATGTCCTTGTAAATGCGGTGCGATACATACGAATCGCCGGAGAAGGCTGCATTCTTGATGACTATGGGCAGCTCACAAAGTGCACCCTGACGATCAAAGCGGCAAACGCACTGCAAAAATGCAAAAGAGGTGTTGCAAAAAATGTTATTAATCATTAGTAAAAGAAAACTTTTCGGGCCAAAAGAGCCAACTCTTTAAAATAATTATGCACATTTATTTTGCATATTATAATTGCAATTTTGTGCACCAAGAAGCACTTGAAGAGTGCGCACAAGTTTTGCATAGTAAGCTCTCTAAGTTTACCCCAAAATATGGCAAGTTGGCGGGACTTCCAAGACTTTAATGCATAATAAAATATATTTTTATTTATTTTAATTTTATTTTATTGAATCAACTTAAAAGACAAGACGCACTCAAAAAGAATGGTACAATAATGTCAATTAACACCTCCGAATTTTATTTGCTATTTGGTCCGATCCACCGCCAAATGTGGTCAGAAACGTTATAGATCTTAAAAACTAAACAAAATAGTAAGTAGAGGAGAAAACGTAACTCTTATTAAGTACTAATTAGATTACTTAAGGAGCAAACCGATAGAGAGCAAAATCTTTAACACGGAGGGGAAAATGTAATTGCAAGTTCGGCAAACTATACCCGGACTTAAAGCTATAAGTGGTCAGAGATTTTCCCCGAGATAACGATAGAGGACGAACAGAAATAAGTGCACAGTCCCAGAATTTTTAGTTTTATGAATGCCATCTTTGAGGGTCAGTAGGATTATTGCAGTACAACAAAATGAATTTTTTAGTAACAAGCTTACTTCGGGGTCACCAAAAGATGTGTTATCAAAGGTGTTTTAAAAAAGGGCTATAATGATTTACATTTGAAGACTGCATGGCAATTAAAGTTATCAGTGGACATTAGTTGGACAGCTGTAGTTTAATTGTTATATAGTTCTAATAAAAAGTTATTATAATTTTTCCTTTAAGCTGTACTTTAAAACACTTCCCAGATAGCCACGTAATACTTTAAATAAACCCACCCTATTGTAATTTTTTTTTATTCAAACATTGCCAAATTATGATTAAAAGTAAAGTAAAAGTCAAATATTTGCCATAATCATTAAGTTTTTTTTATTTTTTCGATTAGCACTATATACACACCCTCTATTCTCTCGTTGGGGCAACAGCACATACTTTTTTTTTTTCAATTGCTGCTGCAAGCTGGCAATAAAACTTTTCACATTGTTCTACATTGGCTAGCATTCGCGTTTCTATTGCTTGAAGTTCTTGACCCGTCGCTTGTTGCACTTTCATTTTTCGCTGTCGCCTTTGTAGCTGCCACTGTTGCACTTTAAATGTCCCTTGGCAGGGCATAAATTATTAAAACGAGAAGCGTACGACGCTGAAGACGTGCGGGCAAATTGCAGTCAGTGGCAACAGAGCGAGCCAAAAAGTTAATTCATATTGCTTTTCAATTTATTGGAATTTGGCGAGAGAAGCTGCAGGCGGAACAGGTTGTGTAGAGTGCGCAGGAAGTACGTCCTGTCTTTGGCTTTTGCGCAAAGTATGGGCCAAAAAGAAATTAAAATTGTTTCCAATATTTACAACCCAAGAAAATGCGTGTGTTTGTCGATGTGCATAATATATAGTATAAATAAGTACTTCTTCATTCATATGCGAAGGTATGGATTTGAACGATTTAATAAATGGATAAATCAATATTTGGAAATAGATTAAATGAAGTATAAAAGCTCTGCATATAAGTCGGATATTAGTAACGTAAAGCAGATAGCTCTACTATATTTGGAAAGACTGCTTAGAAGTCCTGAAGCGCAAAATAAACGTATTGAAAAATCAAACTCAAATGAGAATTTGGCCGAATTAAAGAAAGTTTCTTCTATTTGAAAAGTTCCTGCAAAACTTGGTGATAATTGTGTTTGAAAACATAATGAGAGGTGATGTCTCATTCAAAAAAAAAAGTCTGCGAAAAAAAGACACATATATTTTTATTTGTTTCAATATGTGGTCAGCGTATCTTAAATTGGAACCATCTCTGCGAAAAGTCTTTCCTCAAGGTAAATACTCTTTTTAGCTAATTTGCAATTCTTCAGCTTTATATTGTGTATCAGTTGGGTTCTTAACTTTAAATCTGGCTAAAGTTTGTTCGCTTTATTAGTGTATTTCCTGTTTAAACCATTTTTAATAAATGATTTTGTTGCACTCATACTTGTAATCTTTATGCGCAACTTAAATGCCGGAAGGTCAAAAGCGTTAATTAAAATGTTTCCTGCTAAGCAACGAGTAAAAAATGTGGAAACTTTGCCACTAAACCCACCAGAGCCCTCGACGCAGACAACTAAATTAAGCACCCCCACACACTTACACACACACACACACACAAATACACACATGTGCGTACATGCATACGTGTATGCAATGCTACATATTTTTATGGCTGCAGCGGAAAAAATAAGTAGAAACTCTTCATTTAGCTAACAAGCACATGCGCAAAAAATGTTGCACTTCAAATAATTGTTATGAAAACGCGTGGATTTCTTTTCGTTTTAAGGCGAAAGTTATGCATACAGACATATATATGAAAAGTTTTCGCATAACGCACTTGATATGTTTTTATGCATGCGCTGTGTTTGCCGCCCTCGCTGCCAAAAAGTATGCTATGGAAAAGTTTTTATTTATGCAGCGTATCAAAAAAGCTGAAAAAATAGCAGAATATCGTTGCGCATCAAATGCTGACAGCATGCACTTTTAATGTGTGTGTGTGTGTGTGTGGAACAAGCTGTTCCTGCCCGCTCGTTGTAAGCAGCGCGTGTCTCAACAACCTAGATGCAGATAATGAAGATGCCTCAGTCTCTACTCCTGCGTCCCTTGTTCTTCTACACGCACTGATTTTCTTGTTTTTCTTAGCTTAAGCCAACAACGGCGGAAATTGTTGCTCGTCGTTGTTGCCGGTTGTTGTTGCTTTCGCATTACAAGTTACACTTTCCCTGCCCCCAACTCAATACTCCTTTGTTCTGCTCTGCTCAGCTCAATCCTTTAGCTGTGTTTTACTTCCAACATTTCCGCTGTGCCCCCGCTCTGGCAGCCAGCCCATTAATTTTTTAGTTATTTGAAGGTGTGGCGAGGTGCGGGCTCCACATGGATAGGTCTTAAAAGTTGATAGGTTGATGCTACATGTAAAAAATGAGTACTGGGAATGTGCATTTTTTATTAAATGCTACACGCTTCGTAATGGAGGTGGAATATTTTGCGGCAGCAGGATTTACGTAAGCACCGGCATACAACAGAACAAGGCAGGCAGCAATTAGGGGACAGACACATGCTGTCAAGCATATAATTACACATACGATACGAACTAAAATAGAATAGAATAGAATATAATAGAAGCAGTTTTTGTGTACTTTGGGAATAAAGATTGATTGGAAAAAGGCTAAAGATTGATTTCGATGATAAGAGTGTGACGATAAATGTGTCATACTTGTAAGTGCGATAATAACGACATGTTAATTGCGATTTATTACAATGTCGATACATTAGAATCAACATGAATCAAACAAGGGTAGGCAATTCTTATATATCGTTAAATATACGACAACAAAAGGATTATAAAGGGGCAATACTCAAAGCAGTGCTGACTGACTGACTGGTTTGCTGACAGGTCTAAGCCGTAAATGATCCAAAAATTAGTGAAAAGGGCTCAATTGTGGTTTGAAAATTGCCATCAGTGTGGAAGTCAACACCATTTATTAACAGTCATGAGCTAAAATTAAAATGGAAATTCTATTGAAACGGTTATCTACTAAAATATAAAAGCAAAATGACAGATTATTGGTCAGTGCTTCAGTGCTTGGGGGGTGGACAAAGCTTATAAATACAATGAGGTTCAAAAGATAACATAAATTAATTATAAGCTGTACAATTTTCTTACAGCGTTTATATGATGAATGAATAAATTATGTAAAATAAATTGCTTGTACCTTTATTATCCTAAACATATTCCTCTATCCATTACATACCATATGCGATATTTTCAATTTGCTTTCATAAGCTTAACAAACTAGCTAAACATCTATTTTAATACCCTGCTTCAAAACCACTTTATCATTACTCGCATTTGCAAAAGTGCCATGACCAAATCCCTACTCAAATGTTATCCATTTGTAGTGCTCATCTGCTTGCTGACATTAGACAAGATTTCTTTGGCGCTTTTCGGCAATACATACGTGCGTGTGTGTGTGTGTGTGTGTGTGTGTGTGGGTTGCCCAAACGTTTGCCCAAAAATTAATTGTAACGCGCCTTTAATGTCAACAGGGAAATTGTTGAAAAGCTGAAGTGCGCTTCTGCTAAAATACGAGCGGCACTCACAGCGGTTGAGCTCAGCTGAGCACGGGAGTGTCGCACACACACACACACACACACACATACACACAAACATACATATGTACAAAAATTCACATACATATGTAGTATATACATGTACACTCAGGACATATTACGGCAGACATGTGGGCGCCTAAAAGGGCTCAACAAAGTTTTCATTAGTGGCGTCGTCAGTGGTGGCGATGAATGTGATGCTAGGAAAAGCGAAGCGAAGCGTCTGCATTGGTGGCAAACATTTTGAGCTTCAACTCAGTGGAGCTCTTGAATTGTGCTAAATGCCACTTTACGAGTGACTTTCGCCGAGTGCGAGTGCCACTTTGCGTTGAGGCAGTGGCAGCAGGAGCGTAGCAGCAGGAAGAGCAGCAACAGCTCTCTGTGGCGGCAACTAGACATTTTGCCCAACCGGCAGCCTTTCTCATAGTACGTATAAATCCACGAAACGTGGTCTGGGCTTCATTCCCACGTTGACATTGTTGCGCCTCTGTGCAGCATGGGCGAGGATAGCAGCAACTAAAATGACAGCTGACATATGTAAGTGTTTGTGCCAGTCTCACTTTCTCTTCCTCCATACCTCCCTGCCATTTTCTTCTTCTCGTTCACTTTTCCGCCATAACTGCGTGAGTTTATTCAACAGAATGCCGCAGAAATGAATAGAGCGCAGCGTACAAAATGAAAGGTCAAAATTAACAAAAAAAAAAAAAAAAAAAAAA